GGCATTTTTGTGTGCAGGCCTTTTTTTTTCCTTTAAGTTTGATTGGAGGCAAGAAGGAGGAGGAATATTCTCAGAGAAGGGCAGCTTTGAGGAAAGGCTGCTGTAAAGATTCTTTTTTTTTTTAAAGAGGAGGCTCGCTATGTTGCCCAGACTTGAGTGCAGTGGCTTTTTACAGGCGTGATCCCACTATTGATCAGCACCGGAGTTTTGACCTGCTCTGTTTCCAACCTGGACTGGTTCACCCGTCCTTAGGCAACCTGGAGGTCCCCCACTCCCGGGAGGTCACCACATTGATGCCAAACTTTGTACAGACACCCAGTCGGCATAGCGCACTACAGACCAGAACTCCTGGGCTCAAGCGATCCTCCCACCTCAGCCTCCCAAGTAGCTGGGACTACAGGCACACGCCACCATGCCCAGCAAGATTCTTTACTATGTCTCTTATAAATTTATAAAATCTAAAATCTTAGAATTGGAAAGAACTTAGAGATAATTTAGTTTAACCTTGGCCTCATTTTACAGAGAAGGAAACCAGACCTAGCAGAGGAAATGTTTTGCCCAAGGATAAAACTCAGGTTTCTGAACTCCTAGATGACAACTAATACATTATTAATTACAAATAACTATATATAACTTCTGTTTGATAATGCCTTTAGGTAGTAACCTCTAAAATAGCCACATCAGCATCTTTCTAAGCCAGTTCCTGAATACCCACTTCATGTCTGATTCCTACAATCCAATGTAGTATACATTTTACATAGACTTGGTCTGGCAATGAGGAAACAGCATTCATTTTCAATCCTGGGTCTTGGCAGAATTTGGTATATAACACTGCAGTCGATTACACCCTGTAAAGCTTTAAAGGGATGGTATTCCAAGAATTAGTACTAGTCTGAAGAACCAAATGTTTTGTTTCCCTTTCACTTTTTTACACCTCCCTGGTTCCTGGGGGTAAAATAAATGTTTTCAGTCTAATGGGTGCAGTGGAGAGAGGCATTCTAAGTGGAAAGAAGAGCACATACAAAAGCCTAGAGGCCTCCTGAGATATCATGAGGTGTGTGGGGCCCTTCAAGCAGTTGCTATGACTAGAGCACGTTGGCCCCACAGAGAGCTGAGTCAAGAGCCAGACCTCCTGTACTCTGCATATCTGGAACTTTAGCTTAAAGGCAATGGGGAGTTATTGAAAGATTTATAGGAGAGGAATTACGCAAATACAGTTGCTTTTAATTATTGTTAATTTTTTTTTTTCAGACAGAGTCTCGCTCTGTCAGCCAGCCTGGAGTACACTGGTGTAATCTGAGCTCACTGCAATCGCAGACTCCCCTGCCTCAGCTTTCAGAGTGGCTGGGATTACAGGTGTGCGCCACCACACCCGGCTAATTTTTGTATTTTAAGTAGAGATGGAAATTTCACCATGTTGGCCAGGCTGGTCTCAAACTCCTCACCTCGGGTGATCTATCCGCCTAGGCCTCCCTCAGTGCTGTGATTACAGGCATGAGCCATGGTGCCTGGCTGGTTTTAATTATTTTGATCACACAGATAATATATTAATACATTTTAATATAAACTCAACTATTAAATCGAAAGTCAAAGTTCTTCACCACTCCCTCCAACCCCCATCCCCAGTTCCTCCTTGGAGGTAATTACTCTGCTGCTTGGTACATATCTCTCCCAACATTTAAAAAAGTGCATTCACTTATGTATACACATGCATAGAGATATATCTGGGATTATCTTCCCAGATATTTGTTATCAAACAAATAACATCCTGTCAAAAGATAAATTAAGAGGGACAGAGCTTGGGTCTGGATAATTCTGAGAGCCAGCTGGCCATCTGTTTACTTTGCTCAGTGTTCACAGCATATTTGGTGAACATTCCAGTTTTTCAGTGAGATTCTTACAGATAACCTGGTGCTATGGGAACCATCTGGCTGACCCATCACAACAGCTGCAAATCATTACAGCCATATCCACAAGGCCAGCCTGCACTGGGACCTGCCTGGGTCAAAAATTTGCTGCATGTGTGCATTACAGTTCAGCTGGAATTCACAGATACTAAATGTTCTTTGTTGGGATTAGGAAATGGACAGTGTGCTTGCCATGTGTTACGGAACAACTGAGGACACAGACATGACCATGGGTTCATTTTCTAAGGGAAACAATCAGAACATTTATTATTTTTGAATTGGTCTACATTGTAATAGAAGTTGATATGTCACAAAACATATCTACATAGTGATATGCTTTTTACTATCAATAGTCAAGTTAAAGATTACTACCACACTAACAGACCGACGACTTCTAACACATGGACGGGTATATCAATAGACTAGGTCTCATATAACTATTACTAAATGGGGCCTAGGGGTCTAAGGAATACAGTTTTAGGAATAAATGTGGAAATGTGGATAGATTTATTTATCCCACTCATTAATTCACTCAATATACTTTGGAGGGGGGAGCGGAGATGAGATCTCACCTTGTCACCCAGGGTGTGGTGCAGTGGCTTTGACCGCCTGGGCTTAACAGATTCTCCCACCTCAGCCTCCCCAGTAGCAGGGACTAAAAGCATGAGCCACCATGCCCAGCTAATTTTTGTATTTTTTTGTAGAGACAGGGTCTCCCATGTTATCCAGGCTGGCCTCAAACTCCTGGGCTCAAGCAATCCATCCACCTTGGCCTCCCAAAGTGCTGGGATTACAATCGATACACATTTAGTACCTATTATTTACGGGCTAGAGCATGTGCTAAGGCGTCAGTTGAATCACTCTATTCCCTTTGCTTTAGACTGAAGCTTCGATGGCACCTGGGAAAACAGACAACGAATGTAGTGAGTATCCATAACTAGTTTTACAGACAACCAGTAGTTTGCAAATTATTCCATCCATTAAATGATTCCAAATATTGGAGCAAAGGCCTCCAAGTTAAAATAGTCCATGGAAACATGCTCTATATATCTATGTGGTGCTTACAATAAAAGATGACTTCCTGCGGCTTACTTGCAACTCCGAAAGAGGTGATTTAGGAAAAAAAAAAAAAAAAAGTATGTCACCGTGCTCTTGGGAAATGCTTTTGGGATTTGTCCAAGTTCTAGAGTGGAACTCAAGGCTCCTGAGCCAGAGGACATGAGTTATAACTAAGTAGGATGCGACTGAATTGGAATCTTCCCTGACAGTAATCCCATAAACAGTTGTCTAGGTAAGGGCAAAGTATACAGGTCCCAAAACAGGGTACAAGCTTTCCCTAAAACAGAGGCACTTTCAACAGGGCTTTGTTCCAGGATCCCTAAAACAATTTCAAACAAGGAGATTCACGTTATTCACCTTATCATACATTATTTCAGTGCAAACCTAGAAATATTTTACCAAAAAAATGTATTTGGAAGAATTTGTGAATTATATTTGCTGATTTTTTGAAAGAAATAAAATTTATTTGATTTTTTAATAAATAAATACTTTTTAATGAAATTATTTTAAAAAGGAGAGACGTCTGCAACACCTTAAGAACAATGATACATGTATGAATACTCTGATTTTAAGGGGCAAGTGATGAAGGAACGGGAAGCTGGGTCTGAGTGTGCTCCCAGAAGTCCCCAGAACGTCAGCACAAGGCTGAAAAGGGAAGTGGGAGCTTCGCGTGGAAGACTGCGGAGAGCGTCTACGGTTGTGTCAAAGGAAAAAAATGTTCCTAAGAGTATACCAACCCTGTTCACCAAAGCCTGGAACGCAAGTGTCCCTCCAAGCTGTACACGACCGAGAGAACGCGAACTGAAAGCAGAAGCAGGTCCCAAGGGGCCAGGCACCCCCTCCTCCTGGATACCCACGTCAGACAGGAGAACTAAGGCGGGCCCAGAGGTAACTCAGCTCTTTCCACACGGCAGCCGCCGAAGCTCTAAGGGAGACTACCGTTCGCGCCCGTTGCCGTGGCAACCGCTGGAGTCACGCAGCCCCGCCCCTTCCTCGCGACGTGGCCCCGCCCCCTCCGAACCCGGAAGCGGCAGTCTCGGGCCCGCTGAGCGGCGGTTCGGGAGGAGGGAGCGCGCCGGCCCAAGCTCGCTGGGCCCTGCGCCCCGCCCCTCAGAGGCAGGTCTCCTACGCGCTCCGCTGCCTGCTGCCACCCGGGCCCAGCCGCCTCCACGGCCCGCGCTCGTACTGGAGAGAAGAGCGGCCTCCGGGAGGAGGGGAAGGGACGTGGGGGCGGCCACGGCAGGTGAGGGTGGCGAAGGCCTGGGAAGCGGCTGTGTGGGTGGGTGTGCGAGGTTGTAGTGTGTGTGTAGCGCGTGGTAGCTTCGGTTGTTGTGACTTTGTGAGTGTGATCTGAGTGGGCCGGTTCATGTGACCATGCACGTGATCACATGCCCTTGTGAGTGTGTGTCTGAGGCCCAGTCTGGGCTGTGGGGTGGTCGGTGTGCTTGTGACCCTGCCTTTGTGTGGCTGTCACCGATGGGACTGGCGGAGAGCTGTGTGCGAGTTTCCAGCGGGAGGTGGAGGCGGCAGAGGGCTTAACCGGGGCATCCTCCTGTAAACTCATCTTGGGGCTACACGACTGCAGCCCAGGAACATTTTTTTTCCCCCAGCAAACTTTTAAGAACTCTGAACAGAGGCCAGTAATTTTAGAGACAGCACCTCTGTCTGAAAGTGACAGATGTCTTTGTCGTTGCTGAGTGTGGGCCAGGTGTGAGGTTTGTAAACCGGGGATGAGGAACGGAGCAGGGCCGGAGTGTCTCATTTTTCCTTTTCTCATTTTCCTGGGGAGTTACAAGTTAGATATTTATGCTGCTGCTTTGTCTCCACCTACAATGGTTCAGCTCCTTTTGGCACAAAGATTCAACAGACTGAGGAGTAACTCAATAGCTGTGTCCAGATTCCAAAAGCTTCTATACCAAGAGCATGAGAAGAGATGGCACAGATGTCAGGTAGGCAGCTTTTCCTCCCGTGAGGTTTAGAGAGAATGCGGTAGATTCCTGGAAAAAAGAGGGAGAGATCTCCCCTGAAGCGATCTAAGAAAAGATTGCTATGTACTTCGGTGGTAAGGGATGGAGACGTGCATTAAAAAACCAGTTGCATCACCCAGAGACTCTCAGCTTCTAATATTTTGTTATGGCTGATATTAATAATCATGGATTGTCCATAATGTACGTCAACTATAGATTGAAATAAAGTAGCAGAAACCTCTGACTAAGTAAGCTCCTTATGTGACTTAAACGTTGGTAAAGGTGATTTTTGTTGGGTTTAAAGTGTTAGATTCTGTTGAAGCCCTGAGGGATAGGGGCATAGTCACAACTGGCAGTTGTGGTTTTGGGGTTTTTTTTGTTTTTTGTTTTTGAGATGGAGTCTTGCTCTGTCACCCAAGCTGGTGTGCAGTAGCACAGTCTTGGCTCACTGCAACCTCCGACATCCGGGTTCAAGTGATTCTCCTGCCTTAGCCTCCTCCTGAATAGCTGGGATTACAGGTGCCCACCACCATGCCCAGCTAATTTTTGTAATTTTAGTAGAGATGGGGTTTCACCATGTTGGCCAGGCTGGTCTCAAACTCCTGACTTCAGATGATTCACCCGATTTGGCTTCCCAAAGTGCTGGAATTACAGCACCCAGCCACAACTGGCAGTTTTTATTGTCCAGCGGCAAAAGGGACAGAGAAGACTGGGAGTCCAGAGCACACGCTAAACAGGGTTTTCCTTAGGCAAGATTAAGGCTTATCTCGTGGCCCTTTTCCCACCAGCATGAACAGGTGCTTTTGTTTTTGTGAAGAAGAAAATCACGAGAGATCAAATCAGTTTTGCGCTCACGGTCCGCATTCTTTCTCATTCAGTACTGATCAGTTTGATCACAATCTTAGTTAACCTTCTTTGCCATATGCAGACTGTTCCTCTTACGACTTGGAAAAATGTCACCCTTTGGTGGATGAAATTAAGCTAGGACAACAAACTTTTCTATTCAGACCATTCACAGCTGCTTTCCCTTTGCAGCAGTGAGCTTTTATTCACTTAGACGTCAGTTGGTCAGATGCAACATTTGGTATCCATTTTACCTTTCATGTACTGCCAAACTAGCACAAGTGTTAAAATCACTTGTGACTACAGACATTTAGTCACAGGGGAGTGGAAGCTCTCCATCTTGCAAGATTACTTATAACACATTGGCATATTGAGGTGGTTGTGAATTACTCTGAAGACTCTTGGTAAGGAACATTTTTCTACTTACTGCTGTGGGAAGGAAGAGATGACTCTGTGAATATGTGTGCCTGTGTATGTGTGTATTTGTATGGTGCTTTCGTTTGTGCATTGCAGGTGATTCCAAAGCTATGAATGATTTATTTTATCCCGTTTGGTGACTCTAGAAACACTTTCTGTTTTTAGAAACACTTGGTGACTCTAGAAACACATTTTCTGGTTTTAGTTTGCTAAGGTGTTTTATAAATCTGTTGAGTAGATGTTATTTGCTAAACATCTTTTTTCTTTCCTTTAGAATAGATTGTTTCTAATAATGCAATACTAGGAAATGTCTCTATTAAGAAGTATTTAGATGATATAGGAGTATTTCAAGTCTGTCCAGGTAGAAAATATTCCAGAATTAAATATATATGCCAGTTCCTTTCAACTAAAAGTTATAATCAGCTTAGAGAAAGCCTATAGTTAAAATGGCTTTTTTTTTTTTTTTTGAGATAGAGTCTTGCTCCATCGCCCAGGCTGGGGTGCAATGGTACAATCTCAGCTCACTGCAACCTCCACCTCCCAGGTTCAAGCAATTCTCCTGCCTCAGCCTCCCGAGTAGTTGGGATTACAGGCATCTACCACCAGGCCTGGCTAATTTTTTTTGTATTTTCAATAGAGATGGGATTTTGCTGTGTTGGTCAGACTGATCTTGAACTCCTGACCTCAGGTGATCCACCTACCTGGGCTTCCCAAAGTACTAGGATTACAGGTGTGAGCCACCACACCCAAGATTTTTTAACATATCATTATTTTTCGAAATGGAGTCTCGCTCTGTCATCCAGGCTGGAGTGCAGTGGTGCAATCTTGGCTCCCTGCAACCTCTGCCTCCTGGGTTCAAGCGATTCTCCTGCCTTAGCCTCCCAAGTAGCTGGGACTATAGGTGCATGCCACCACACCAAGCTAATTTTTGTATTTTTAGTGGAGACGGAGTTTGTGCTGTTAGCCAGGCTGGTCTCGAACTCTTGACTTTGTGATTTGCCTGTCTTGGACTCCCAAAGTGCTGGGATTGCAGGCGTGAGCCACTGCACCTGACCTTAACATATTAGTATTTAAGATAAAATGGATATGCAAAGAATTATTTTCTTTATTCAGTATTAATAACTATGCACACTGATGTTTAGCATAAGACTGGCTGATGATTTTCTTGGTACTTAAAAGCAACTTATGATTTTAACAAAATTCTGTACAAGTACCATTTTAGCTTTGAGAGAAGAGACCATTATTACAATGTCACGGTTGTAAACCCAGTTTAGCATTGGAATGTCTCCATCTACTGTCTCCTTAGGGTTCAGCTTAGTACGTCTCCAATGTCACAGTGGAGTCTGCTGAGGGCTCCCTGTTCCTGAGGGAGCAGATCTTGAGGGCCACCAAGGAAGAGTTCCTTTGAGTTTGGAATCCCCTCTTCCTTGCCAGTCCAGAGAACTCCCTCTGAAATGACAGTTCAGAGTCAGCCCGGGTGTTAGGTCCTGGAGTCTAACCTCACCTTAGCCCTGCTAGGATCAAGGCTTGCTCTTGAGGTAGAGGAGGTGGTACAAAGCAAATATTTGAATCCTTCCAGGTGGAATTTCCTCACTTAGCAGTAAGAATCTGCAACGGGGAACTATAATTTCAGTTTCCTGTTAGGACATAGCACAGATGCCTGAGCAAAGAGGGGGAAGCCTTTTAGTTGAAGATGTTCAGCTAGGCCAAAGCTCACAGATGCCAGGTTTAGAAATCAACAGATAATGCCTGCTCTGTGCCAAGCACTGTTTTAAGCTTTGGGGACACAGTGGTTCACTTGAACCTGGGAGTCATAGATGAGAAAACAAACCCAAAAAGGATAATGACTTATCTAAGGTCACAGAGCTAGGAAAACTGAAAGGCACTAAGCTCACAACAAAGACTACACATTTTTTCCTAAAGGCAAATGTTTCATTTTGTTGCTAGTTAGAGTGCCTTCAAGTTTACATTATAGATCTTTCAGAGGACATTGTGTAACTGAATCACATTGATATGATACAGGCAAATTTGTATTTTGTATTAAGAACTACATGTGAATTTCTGAAGTTATGTTCCATTACAGTTAGACTTACAGTGTACTGTGAATTTATCAGGAAGCAGGCTTAATTTAAACTTCTTTCTCTAGGCTGTGTGGTAGCTCACACCTGTAGTCCTAGCACTTTGGGAGGCAAGATGGGAGGATTGCTTGAGCCCAGGAATTCAAAACCAGCATGGCAACATAGCGAGACCCCGATATCTGCAAAAATAAAAAATTAGCCTGTCGTGGTGGTGTGTGTCCATTGTCTCAGCTACTCAGGAGGCTGAGGTTGGGATAAGTGCTCGAGCCTCAGAGGTCAAAGCTGCAGTGAGCTGTGACTGTGCCACTGCACTCTAGCCTGGACAACACAGCAAGACTCTGTCTCAAAAATTAAAAAACATAAACTCCTTTCTCTAGCATGGACTATTCTCTATAATCAGACAGGAGCATCTTTATTAAATGGATTCTTAAGGTAATGTCAAAAGATAGCTGATGGCACTGAAGTTTAGAACAAAGACAGGAAGTATGGTGTCAGAAAGGGCTGTCTCACATCTGGTCCTAGCATTGCTATGTGGTCTCAGGTGAGTCATTTAAATTTTCTAGACCAGATTTCTCTTCTGGAAGAACTAAGGGTGTTAGAATAATTTGTTTAAGAGCCCTTCTGGTGGCTGGGCGTGGTGACTCACGCCTGTAATCCCAGCACTTTGGGAGGCTGAAGCGGGAGGATCACCTGAGGTCAGGAGTTTGAGACCAGCCTGGCCAACATGGTGAAACCCCGACTCTACTAAAAACACAAAAATAAGCTGGGCATGGTGGTGGGTGCCGGTAATTCCAGCTATTTGGGAGACTGAGGCAGAAAAATCATTTGAACTTGGGAGGTGGAGGTTGCAGTGAGCCAAGAAAGAAAAGAGAGCCCTTCTGATTCTGTGATTGTAGTATTTCACCAAATAGTTTGCCAGATTCCTTGATTTTCCTTTTTAAAGTGTTGTTGGTATAGCTAGATCAGACTCTACATTTAGTTCTGATGTAAACATGAATTCTTGACGTGAAATATCACATGCTTTTGTTTCAGGGTTAACCTCCATTTCAGCTAATCATGGGAGAGATTAAAGTCTCTCCTGATTATAACTGGTTTAGAGGTTCAGTTCCCCTTAAAAAGGTATGTATGGTTTTACTACACCTCTTATTTGCAAAATCTTGTATTGTTTTTGTGTGTGATTTAGATGTCATGTCTTAGTAGTGTTTGAGAGTAAAAGTTACTGCCAAGTATCATGACTCAGGGTTGCAGAGGGTGAAGTTCAAGTACAGTCAACTTTGGAGACTCATTTTAGAGTGAAGAGTAAAAGCAGGTATAACTGTACTCATTTTATTCATTCATTTGTTTATTTTTGAGATGGAGTCTTGCTCTGGCACCCAGGCTGGAGTGCAGTGCAGTGCACTGCACGATCTTGGCTCACTGCTACCTCTGCTTCCCAGGTTCAAGTAATTCTCCTCAGTCTCCCAAGTAGCTGGGATTACAGGTGCCCAACACCATGCCTGGCGAATTTTTATATTCTTAGTAGAGATAGAGTTTCACCATGTTGGCCAGGCTGGTCTCAAACTCCTGACCATAAATGATCTGCCTGCCTTGCCTCCCAAAGTGCTGGGCTTATAGGCATGAGCCACCACGCCCAGCCAGTACTCATTTTTTATAATTACTTATGTATTCAAGCAAGCAGGTATGTGTGTACTCTTCTTTATAGTTTAGTGGAAAGTTTACAGCAACTACATAGCAAGTACAGTCAGATTATATTCCTGTTCCTCAGATTTAAGACTGGGGTCACATTATAGAGACTCTGTTTGCAATGACATACTCATTCTGCCACAGTCATCTCTGGAAGCTTTATTTTCCTGGGATGTTTGAAAACCCTAAACACTCAGATTGCAGTTGAGTGTTAACTTTGCATCCCATATTAATCCCAGATGTTTGGGGATCACACTAGACAAAGGCAGTTCAAGTCACTGAGTAGAATAGAATCTTTGCTAATTCCCTTGAAGCAGTATTAGAATACTGTGATCTTAAGATCGTTTGCAGCTGTTTGTGATGGCTCACAACTGTAATCCCAGCACTTTGGAGACCTAGGTAGGAGGATCACTTGACGCCAAGAGTTTGAGATCAGCCTAGGCAACACAGCGAGACCCTTTCTCTATTTAAAAACATGAAAAAATTAGCCAGGCATGGTGGTATGTGCCTATAATCCCAGCACTTTGGAAGGCTGAAGCAGGAGGATTGCTTGAGCCTAGGAGTTTCAGACCAACCTGGGCAATATGATGAACCCCTATCTCTACAAACTTGAAGAAATTAACTGGGCTTGTTGGTGCACGCCTGTAGTCCCAGATACTCAAGAGGCTGAGACAGGAGGATTGCTTAAGCCCAGGAAGTCAGGGCTGCAGTGAGCCGTGATCGTGCCACTGCACTCCAGCCTGGGTGACAGAGCCAGACTCTGTCAAAAAAAAAAAAAAGAAAGAAAAGTAAAAATGTGAGTGGCAAAATACAGGGCAAGAACATGAGTGTGAGATACACTGTCATCTATAACCTGGGGAGTCCAAAGGGAACTGTTAGGCCTCTCTAGACTTTGCCTTGTTCCATTTGTCTGCCCCTAGTGATACCAGTGACCCTGGCTAGTGTGCTGCCACCCACAGAGTGACACTGTGGAGTCCATAGCCCTGCTAATGAGGAGCGCTCAGAAAAAAAGAGCCTGGAGGCCTTGATTTTTTTTTTTAATACAAAAGTAAAATAAATACTGATTTGCATTGGCAAACATTTAAGCAGTTAATGTACTTTTCTAAATACCGCCAAAAGTCAGAGAAAACAAAAAGTAAAATAGGATGAGGTGAATAATAATAATAGGTAATACTTCTAGAACACTGAACATCTGCCACACTCTGCTGAGCATTTGAGTTGCTTCAGCTTGCCTTTTTTTTTTTTTTTTTTTTAAGAGACAGGATTTACCTTTCTTGCTCAGGCTGGAGTGCTGCATGATCATATAGCTCAATGCAACCCTGAACTCCTGGGCTCAAGCAATTTTTGTGTCTCAGCCTCCGAAGCAGCTGGGACTATAGGTGTGTACCACCACACATGGCTGATTTTTTCATTTTTCATAGAGATGGTATCTTGCTATGTTGCCCAAGTTGGTCTTGAACTCCTGGCCTCAAGCAGTCCTGCCTTTGGCCACCCAAAAGCACTGAGATTACAGGCATGAGCCATCAGGACTGGCACTCAACATTTCTTTTCTTTTTTTTTTTTTTTTTTTAAGACAGAGTCTCGCTCTGTCGCCAGGCTGGAGTGCAGTGGTGTGATCCCTGCTCACAACAACCTCCGCCTGCCAGGTTCAAGCAATTCTCCTGCCTCAGCCTCCGTAGCTGAGACTACAGGCGCACGCCACCATGCTCAACCAATGTTTGTATTTTTAGGAGAGATGGGGTTTCACCATGTTGGCCAGAATGATCTTGATCACTTGACCTTGTGATCCACCCGCCTCAGCCTCCAAAGGGCTGGGATTATAGGCATGAGCCACCATACTTACCTTTTTGTTTTGTTTTGTTTTTCTTTTTGTTTGATTTTTGAGACAGAGTCTTGCTCTGTCACTTAGGCTGGAGTGCAGTGGCCAGATCTCGGCTTACTGCAACCTCTGCCTCCTGGGTTTAAGCAGTGCTGCCTCAGCCTCTCCAGTAGCTGGGATTACTGGCACATGGCACCACACCTGGGTAATTTTTGTATTTTTAGTAGAGATGGGGTTTCACCATGTTAGCCAGGCTGATCTGAAACTTCTGACCTTAGGTGATCTGCCCACCTTGGCCTCCCAAAGTGGTGGGATTACAGGTGTGAGCCACCATGCCCGGCCCCCTTTGCTCTTCTAACATTCATTATTTCCTCATCATGTTGAGTCAGGAACCACTCAGTTGGAAAGGTTTCTGATTACCTTCCTCCTCCCTACCTGCTTTTCAAAGGGCTGCTGTAATCTTTGAACGGTTACAAAGCCAGTTTCTCTCTGTACCACTCCCTAGTCCCTACTGGTTTGAAGTATTCTCCCAGGAGAGTGACACATAGACCTGCCTCATTCCCCTTCTGTGGCAGAAGTCTCCCCCACAACTCCCCAGAGGCTTGGTCTCAATGAGGCTCCTGAAGCATCTCTTGAGCTGTTGCTGTCTCTACCCACCTACCCAGATGGATAGAGACGGGAGCTAGGAGCCTTGTCTCCCCATCAGCTCCTCTGTTCGTATTCTGACCCTGCAGATCCCAGCCAGTCCTCTGGGCCAGCACTGCAGAATGACTGCAAACTGCCCTCCTTGTAAGATACATTCTCACACACACACAACCAGAACTGTGGGAACAAATAAGATGCCGTGTATAGAGTTTACTCTTTAATGCCGAGCAAAATATATTTCTTCCTATTGTCGTGGATAGAGAGGAAAGTTAGAAACAGAGAAGCGGCCAGGCACGGTGGCTCACGCCTGTAATCTTAGCCCTTTGGGAAGCCGAGGCAGGCAGATTACCTGAGGTCAGATGTCTGAGACCATCCTGGCCAATGTGGTAAAACCCCATCTCTACTAGAAATACAAAAATTAGCCAGGCATGGTGGTGTGCACCTGTAATCCCAGCTACATTGGAGGCTGAGTGAGGCACAAGAATCTCTTGAACCCGGAAGGCGGAGGTTGCAGTGAGCCAAGATCACAACACGGCACTCCAGCCTGGGTGACGGAGCGAGATTCTGTCTCAAAAAAAAAAAAAAAGAAAATGAGAGAAGCAGCAGCCCTTTAAGGATTATAAAGTAGTTTTATGGAATAATATGTTAGCCCTGAGGAAAGAAAAGGAGATCAGAGGAGTTTGTCATGCATGCTAATCTGGTGTGAGCTCCAGGTTACCTTGTAACACACAAGGCAGTAGTGTTAAAATTGTCAGTGAAATGACAGTGTAAAATAACAAAAAGCAAATTTATAAGGTTTTCCACTTTTTTCTTCTAACTTTCCCTCCAGATTATCGTAGATGATGATGACAGTAAGATATGGTCGCTCTATGATGCGGGTCCCCGAAGTATCAGGTGTCCTCTGATATTCCTGCCTCCTGTCAGTGGAACTGCAGATGTCTTTTTCCGGCAGATTTTGGCTCTGACTGGATGGGGTTACCGGGTTATCGCTGTAAGTATTACTGAGACAGTATTAAAATTCAGACCCACATTGTGTGTGTGTGTGTATGTGTGTGTGTGTGTGTGTGTGTGTGTGTGTGTACGCGTGCTTCTGTCTCTAATCAGCTATTGTAATGGGTATTTTTTTTTAATTGAGGAAAGATACTGTTTGCCTATTTTAAAATGTGAGATGAAGCCTTTTGAAGAAGGCTGGTGTGAGTCCACAGTCACAGGAGATTCAGAGGGAACAGACCTCTCTATTGGCAGCCTCTCCATGGCCAGCGTTTTCATGTATTCTCTCCTGATGCTCTTCTCTCAACTCGGAGTGGTAGGAAGCATCGTCCTTGTTTACAAATGAGGAAACTGAGGTCTGGCTTACTCAGCCAGTAAGTGGTGGAGAGAGGAACCGAGCTTTGTCTCTTCGCTCCGTTTCTGATCCTCATTTTATCACAACACTGCCTCCAGGGTTGCCGAGCACAGAATATTAGACAACGAAGGGATTTGCCAACATATAAGGGACTGAAAAGCTGGCTTTTCTTGTAAATCTTTTGATATGTCAGGTGAGGTTCATTAATTAGCTCGTATGTTAACTTTTGATTAGGACGTTTTTTGTTCCTAATTGTTACTTTAGAGCCAAGTTTGGTCTAAATCTAGTTTTCCGCTGATCATTCTTGAGTCTTCTCTGGGAGAAAGGTGTGTGGCAAAGGCACTCTTCCTGGTGACAGTTTTTTATTTCTCCATGCTTCCACTGTAATGCTACAGGTTGGTCAGGACATGGGTCTCCTAATTTCCCAGGAAGAGACTCTTTAGCTGGCAGTCATTTCAAGGACCTGCAGTATTCACTTGTAAGTGGTACTCCCAGTGGCAGTACTGCTGTTAGTATACGATTTATTTACTGTTTAAAGAATGAAAGAGCAGGTCACATCTCTTCTCTTAGCAGGTGGGGTTACCACCAACTGGGGCCACACAAAAGAAATCAGTTCCGAGACAAGAACAGAAAATGAAACACCGCATATTCTCACTCATAGGCGGGTGATGAAACATGAGAACACATGGACACAGGGAGGGGAGTACTAAACACTGGGGTCTATTGTGGGGAAAAGGGAAGGGCCACTGGGAGGGGGAGGTGGGGAGGGATAGCCCGGGGAGAAATGCCAAATGTGGGTGAAGGGGAGAAAGGAAGCAAAACACACTGCTATGTGTGTACCTTCGTAACTGTCTTGCATGTTCTGCTCATGTACCCCAAAACCTAAAATGCAATAAAAAATTTGAAAAATAAAAATAAAAAATAAATCAGTTCCTCTTCCTCCTGACAGCCCGTCTCTTACTTGAGAAAATAGTTATCATCATCACCACCTGATGCCTTTCTCCTGGGTCTTTTCTTCTCTGGCTTGGCTTAATTTCTCTGGCTTCTTTAACCATTCTTCACGTGACATGTTTGTCTCTGCAACATAATCCTCCCTTGTTCAGATTTTCAGTCATTCCTCTTCACGAACAGCATTCTAGAAAAGGGTAGGAACTGCCCTCATCCCAGCCCTCTGCAGCCTGAGACATGACACCACCATTTTTGGTGGCCTCTGTTGATCACCCAGGGAGGGGGAAACCAAGAAGCCCGCAGGTACCCAGTTGGGAGTGCTGTCCAGCAGTGTGTTTCTTACTCCACAGTGGCAGGTCATGAGAGCCTACCTTCTGGCTGGATGTTTCTTTTTTACCTTCAGGGTTCCTGATGTGGGCGTTCCCTGTTTCATTAGGAGGGTAGTGAATCAATAAAAGGTCAACAGCATCTTCAAAATTAGTTCGTCATCAAGATTTGATCAGAATGTTCAACTCCATGAGGTCTTGGAACTTATTTAATATTTGTTAGTATCTAGCAGTTAAAATGCACAGGTCTTTTTCATTTAAATTTTGTATTGTTATAATTGTAGATTCACATGCAGCCATAAAAAATAATACAGAGAAATGTCACTTTTACACTTCCCCTAGTTTCCACCAACCCTTTGCAAAACTATAGTACAATATCACAACCCGGATACTGATATTACTACAATCTACTAATCTCATTCACGTTTCCCCAGTTCTGCTTGAACTCATTTGTTTGTATGTATCAAGTTGGATATAATTTTGTCACCTGTGTGGGCATGTATATTTATAAATTAACATCATCCCCTTTCTTTTAGGCTGTCATCTGACTCAAATTCTCAAACTTTCTGTTAGGCAGAATCTGTTCTCCATTCTTTCTTGGGATGGTGGAATTCTTACCCACAAATAGAATTTTAATAACAAAAACAAACAGGCCAGGAGTGGTGGCTTACGCCTGTAATTCCAGCATTTTGAGAGGCCAAGGCAGGTGGATCACTTGAAGTCAGGAGTTTGAGACTAGCCTGGCCAATATGGCGAAACCCTATCTCTACTAAAAATACAAAAATCAGCCAGGTGTTCTGGTGGACATCTGTAATCTCAGCTACTCAGAAGGCTGAGGTAGGAGAATTGCTCAAACCCAGGAGGTAGAGGTGGCATGAGTCGAGATCACACCACTGCACTCCAACCTGGACAACGGAGGAGACTCTGTCTCAAGAAACAAACGAACACCCCAAAGTACAATGAAATAGAGTAACTAAGTCATTTAAAAGAAGAGGAACAACTTTACTGAATACCGCCTTAAAGAAATGCTACCAAAAAGAGACGGAGCTCTCCTTAGATCCTGTTTTCTTTCCAGCTCTCCTGAGCCATATCTTGAATGAAACTGGATTTAAGAGAAAACTGTATTTTTTTTACTGAGATGGGTTCTACTATATTCATCCTTGAACCCCATACTTTTTCAGCTATTTAGAAAGGAAATTGATATGAATTGAAATGGTTACTCACATAATATCCTTAGAGTGTGCTTACTTTTCATTCTCTTTTAATTTGGTCTGTTAGGTAAAATGTGAATTATGAAGTTTAGTAAAAAGTGAGAGCTTATTTTTACATATTTTGTATAGGGAGCAGCACTTGAGCAAATGAGAAATGCCGCTATTTTGAGTTCTAAATTTTTCAAATATATGAGTTATATTTTTACTTTTATGATTTTTAAAATAAAAATTATTGTTATTGTTTCAGTTGCAGTATCCAGTTTATTGGGACCATCTCGAATTCTGTGATGGATTCAGAAAACTTTTAGACCATTTACAATTGGATAAAGTGAGTACCCTGAAACTAATTACATACATATGATTTTTTTGTTTTGAGACAAAGTCTCACTCTGTTGCCCAGGCTGGAGTGCAGTGGCATGATCTCGGCTCACTGCATCCTCCATCTCCTGGGCTCAAGTGATTCTCCTGCCTCAGCTTCCAAAGGAGCTGGGATTGCAGGCATGTACCACCATGCCCAGCTGATTTTTGTATTTTTAGTAAATATGGGCTTTTGCCATGTTGGCTAGACTGACCTCAAGTGATCCACCCGGCTTGGCCTCCCAAAGTGCTGGGATTACAGGCGTGAGCCACCGTGCCCAGCCCTCTTTTATTTTTTAATAATAACTTTATTGCAATATAATTCATATACCATATAATATACCCTTTAAGTATACAGTTCCATGTTTTTCATATATGCGGAGGTATGTGCAACTATCACCGCAGTCAGTGTTTTAGAATTTTTTAAATTCCAAAAACCTCATACGCATTAGCAGTCAGTCCGTATCTTCCCTCCTAGTAGCCCTACAACCTAATTTACTTTTTATCTCTGTGAATTTGCCTATTCTAGATGTTTTGCATAAGTGGAACATATCATATGTGGTGTTTGCGGCTGGCTTTTTAAACTTAGCATTATAAGTCTGAGGTTCATTCATGCTGAAGCCTGAATCAATACTTTGCTTCTCTTTATGGCTAAATCATATTTTTATGAATATGCCATGTCTTGTTGATTCATTCATCAGCTGATACCTTTTGGATATCATGAATAATGTTGCCATGAACATTCATGTACAAATTTTTGTGTCGACGTGTGTTTTCACTTCTCTTAGGTATGTATTTAGGGGTGGAATTACTGAATCATACTTTTCTTAGACATAAACCACTAAGTGGTTTGGGGTATTTTTCTTTTCTTTTTTTTTTGAGACGGGCTTTCACTCTGTCACCCAGGCTGGAGTACAGTGATGCAATCATGGTTCACTGCAGCCTCAACCTCTTGGGCTGCAGTGATCCTCCCACCTCAACCTCCCAAGTAGCTAGGACTACAAGCATGTACCACCTACAAGCATGCCAAGCTAATTTTTGTATTTTTAGATTTGGCTTTGTTTGTCTGTGAATAATATTTGTTAACTTATATAGCTTGGATGCAGAATTGTATTATCTTGATGGAGTGTGTAAATTGCATTTAAATACAAAATTTTCTAAATTTCTAGCTGCTGTAAATATTTTAGTCTGTTGGCTAGTAATAACATTATACTGTGTGGTTAGTGATAATTGAAGGACGTTTTAATACTCATGTTCAAGATTGATCAGTATTTTAGGATCTGCCTTATATTTGTTCATAATTAGGTTCATCTTTTTGGCGCTTCTTTGGGAGGCTTTTTGGCCCAGAAATTTGCTGAATACACTCACAAATCTCCGAGAGTCCATTCCCTCATCCTCTGCAATTCCTTCAGTGACACCTCTATCTTCAACCAAACTTGGACTGCAAACAGGTAAGAACAAAATTAGTATTTTTGTTCAGTGAAATTTTGAAAATGTTGCATTTTGAGTGTTTGGTATAGGAGGAAGGGAAGGCTTATATATACTTCTGTATTCTGCAACTTCCTTGGCTTTTTTTTTTTCTTTTCTTTTTTTTTTTTTTTTTTTTTGATAAAGAGTCTTGCTTTGTCAACCAGGCTGAAGTACAGTGGTAGAATCATGGCTCACTGCATCACTGCAGCCTCCATTTCCCAGGCTCAAGTGATTCTCCTACCTCAGCCTCCCAAGTAGCTGGAACTATAGACAGGCATGTGAGGCACCACACCTGGCTAATTTCTATACCTTTTGTAGAGATGGGGTTTTACCATGCTGGTCTCTAACTTCTAGGCTCATGTGATCTGCCCACCTTGCCCTCCCAAAGTTCTGGGATTACAGGCAGGAACCACCATGCCTGGCTCTTTCTTGGCTTTTAAAATTAGAAACAATTACCTTTGCAAAAGGAAAGAGTTGAATGAACTCTAAATTCAATTTTTTTATTACCCTAAATTATTTTTAAATTTTGTTTAATATCATTCATACACTTTGCTCTTTCTATTCAGTATTTCTATATAACTAATATCTTCTGTTTATTCCACTTATTATTTTGTTTAAACAATTCCAAGTATTGACTGACATAGTTTTATTAGGCATTTGGCTTTTCCCGATTCTTCATCACGTTCTACAGTAAATCTTTGTACAAATTACTGGGTTTTTTTCCCTTTGTGGTTTATTTCCTTGAGATATGTTCTCTAAATGGAAAGACTAGAGACTTTGGTCTGTTAACACGTGTTCTGTACATCATGACCCTTGATGTTAGTCTGTTCTTCTGAAAGATAGAAATGGTGAAAATGCTTCCGGGGCAGCCAGTGGGGTACCTGTTTCCTAGGTGCCATCCTTTCATTTATTTGATCATTTGAAGTGGTTCGGTAGGTATCTATGATGCCATACAGCTGGCTTACTGTGCACTTCTTTCATTGCTAGCAAGGCTAGGCTCTAGCCTTAGAAAAAGCCCAGTGGTCAGGTGTGGTGGCTTACATCTGTACTCCCAACACTTTGGGAGGCCAAGCGGGAGGATCACTTCAGGCCAAGAGTTTGACACCAGCCTGAGCTGCATAATGAGACCCTGTTTCTACAAATAATAGCAATAATAATAAATTAGCCAGGTACCATGGTATGTACCTGCAGTCCTAGCTACTCAGGAGGCTGAAGCAGGAGGATTTCTTAAGCCTAAGAGTTCAGAGCTGCACTGAGTCATGATCTTGCCTGTGTACTCCAGTCTGGGTGACAGAGCAAGACCCTATTTCAACAATAAAAGCCTTGTGACTTAAACACATCTGTATGTTCAGTGTTTTCAAATAATGTATAGGGAAATACTGTTTCACATCTACTTAAGATTGTACTCTGGAATATTTTTTAGATTTTCTGATGTAGTTACTCAGCATGCAATAATTTCTTTTTTCTTTTTTCTTTTTCTTTTTTTTTTTTGAGATGGAGTCTCATTCTGTCCCCCAGGCTGGAGTGTAGTGGTGCCATCTCGACTCACTGCAACCTCCACCTCCTGAGTTCAAGCCATTCTCCTGCCTCAGCCTTCCAAGTAACTGGGACTACAGGGTGTGCCACCATGCCTGGCTAATTTTTTGTATTTTTTAGTAGAGACGGGTTTTCACTATGTTAGCCAGGATGGTCTTGATCTCCTGACCTCGTGATCTGCCCGCCTTGGCCTCCCAAAGTGCTGGGATTACAGGCATGAGCCACCACGCCTGACCTCATGCAACAATTTCTTGTGTACATTAGCTACTTACAAATCCCTCCCGTCTAGGTAATACACAAATAATGCTCATTATTTTTGGTGATTTTTATTGCTGTTCTAATTGTTAGAAGGCCAGGACAGCCCCCATTCAGTTCGTGCTCCGGCACATCAGCTGCTTTTTGTCAAGTATCTGAGTGCTTACTGTGTGCCACACACTGGAATACAAGAGTGAACAAATCCAGCAGGGTCCACCCCGAACAGAGTGTACTTAGACATCATCACCTTCAAAACCTAAGAAAGTGCTGTGGCTGGGAGAGAACTTAGAAAGTTAACTGGAAGGTGACCCAGTGGTCCTGTTGAGGGAAGCTCAATTTCCAGCAAGGCTGTCCCAGTGATAAGCATCAGAAGCACCTCTTCTAAGTAATTCATCATAGGTTTAGAGAAATTGGTGTTTATCCTCCATGATGGCTCTTAACAGTTGAAATTAATGGAATAAATATAAACTAAAGATTATATATAGAAATCCATAAAATCTGGCCAGTCACAGTGGTTGTATAATTCCAACACTTTGGGAGGCAGAGGTGGGATCATTGCTTAAGTGTCCAGGAGTTCTAGACCAGCCTGGGCAACATAGCAAGACCCTGTTACTACAGAAAATGTTTTAAAAATTAGCCAGGCCTGGTGGTTCAAGCCCACATAGTCCCAACTACTAGGGAAGGCCAAAGTGGAAGGATCACTGGACAGGAGTTTGAGGCTATAGTGAGCCGTGATCACAACACTCTACTTCAGCCTGGGCTGAACAAGATTCTGTCTCTAAAAATTTTTTTAATTTTTAAATTTTTTTTAGAGACAGGGTTTCATCATGTTGGCCAGGATGGTCTCGATCTTCTGACCTCACGATTTGCCTGCCTCTGCCTCCCAAAGTGCTGGGATCACAGGTGCGAGCCACCGCACCTGGCCAAATTTTTTAAATTAAAAAATAAAAAGAGGCCAGGTGTGGTGGCCCACGCCTGTGATCCCAGCACTGTGGGAGGCTGAAGGTGATCACTTGAGGCCAGGAGTTTGCCACCAGCCTGGCAAAAATGGGAAAACCTCATCTCTACTAAAAATACATAAGTTAGCTGGGCATGGTGGCATGCGCCTTTAGAGCCAGCTACTCGGGAGGCTGAGGCATGAGAATTGCTTGACCCTGGGGAAGCAGAGGTTGCAGTGAGCTGAAACCATGCCACTGTGCTCCAACCTGGGCAACCAAGTGAGACTATGTCTGAAATAATAATAATAATAATTTTAAAAAACAAATCTATAAATACCAATTTGCCTTGAATTAGCCAAGTTGAATCTAATAGTAGCAAATTTGGGAAGGTACAATAACTTTCATATTGGTATTTTAAAATCTATTTTTAAATATCAGTCAATAAAAAGAAAATATTGAGCTGGGTGCAGTGGTTCACACCTGTAATCCTGGAACTTTGGGAGGCCGAGGCAGGCAGATCAAGGCCAAGAGATGGAGAACATCCTGGCCAACATGGTGAAACTCCATCTCTACTAAAAGTACAAAAATTAGCTAGGCGTAGTGGCGTGTGCCTGTCGTCCCAGCTACTTGGGAGGCTGAGGCAGGAGAATCACTTGAACCCGGGAGGTGGAGGTTGCAGTAAGCCCAGATCGCACCACTACACTCCAGCCTGGCAACAGAGCGAGACTTGTCTCAATCAATCAATCAATCAATAAGAAATATCAGGAGAATGATCCAAGATGGCCGGTCACTAACATCACAGGATTGCAGCCCTCAGTGAAGGCGCAGAGAACTAGAGGACGCCACACTTTCAGACAAATTCTGGTCGCTCATGGAGCAGAAGATCCCCAGTGGAGGAAACACACGGGTTGCCAGCGCGACTCTCCTGGCCTGCACAGTGGTTCCGCCTCAGGGCGGCAGCTCTCGGAGCAGAGTAAACAGGTTTGGAGGACCCGCAAGGGCCCCCCAGCACAACACCAGAGCCCAGCGCAGCGGCTGTGACGGCACCTCGGCGCGGCAGCACTCGGTGCAGAGTAAACGGGACCGGTTCCCCTTCTGACCGAGGTTTGGAGCCCCGGGAAGGCAGAGTCGCCTGCTACGGACACAAGAAGGAAGCCCGACAGGAGAATCCTGGGAAGAAAAGCACCATCAGTTTTAATGCTGCTGCTCTGGCCCTGGGAACTAACAACCTGGACGCCCACTCAAGAGACCTAATCTGAAAGTTGGTAAATTCAAAGACGACAGGTGGATAAATTTACAGTGATGGGAAGAAACCAGCGTAAAAAAGCTGAGAATACTCAAAGTCAGAACGCCTCTCCCTCTAAAGAAGATCACAGTTCCACATCGACAATGGAACAAGGCTTGATGGAGAACCAGCGCATCCCAATGACAGAAGTACTCTTCAAGAAATGAATAATAACAAACTTCAGTGAGTTAAAAGAACATGTTGTAGCCCAATGTAAAGAAACTAGGAACTTTGAAAAAAGGTTTGATGAAATCCTATTGAGAATAGACAACTTAGAGAGGAGTATGAGTGAATTAATGGAACTGAAGAATACAATACAGGAACTCCGAGAAGTATGCACAGGTTTAAACACTCGAATTGTTCAAGCAGAAGAAGGGATATCAGAGGTCAAAGTCCAACTTAGTGAAATAAAACGTGAAGAAAAGATTAGAGAAAAAAGGATAAAAAGGAATGAGCAAAGTCTCCAAGAAATGTGGGACTATGTGAAAAGACCAAATTTACGTTTGATAGGTGTACCTGAATGCGACGGAGAGAATGAATCCAAGCTGGAAAATACCCTTCAGGATATTATTCAGGAAAATTTTCCTAAACTAGCAAAGCAGGTCAATATTCAACCCCAGGTAATACAGAGAACACCACAAAGATATTCCTCAAGAAGAGCAACCCCAAGGCACATAATCGTTAGATTCACCAGGGTTGAAATGAAGGAGAAAATACTAAGGGCAGCCAGAGAGAAAGGTCAGGTTACCCACAAAGGCAAACCTATCAGACTTACAGCAGATCTCTCAGCAGAAACTCTACAAATCAGAAGAGAGTGGGGGCCAATATTCAACATCCTCAAAGAACAGAACCTTCAATCCAGAATTTCATATCCAGCCAAACTAAACTTCAGAACTGAAGGAAAAATAAAATCTTTTATGAACAAGCAAGAACTCAGAGATTTTATTACCACCAGGCCTGCTTTACAAGAGCTTCTGAAAGAAGCATTACACACAGAAAGAAACAACCAGTATTAGCCTTTCTAAAAAATACCAAAAAGTAAAGAGCACCAACATAAAGAAGAATTTACACCAACGAATGGATAAAACAGCCAGTTGACATCAAATGACAAGTAACCCTAAATTTAAATCAACTAAATCCCCCAATCAAAAGACACAGCCAAAACCCAACGGCATGTTACATCCAGACCTGTTTCACATGCAAGGATACACAAAGACTCAAAACAAAGGGATGGAGAAAGATTTACCAACCAAATGGAGAGCAAAAATAAATAATAAATAAATAAAAAGCAGGAGTTGCAAATCTTGTATCGGATAAAATAGATTTTAAAGCAACAAAGATACAGTGGTAAAAGGATCAATGCAACAACAAGAGCTAACGATCCTAACACCCAGATACATAAAGACTTAGACTCAATGAGACAGAAAATTAATAAGGATATCAAAGACTCGAACTCAGATCCGGAACAAGTAAACTTAATAAATATTTATAGAGCTCCCCACTTCAAATACACAAAATATACATTCTTGTCAATACCACATCACACCTACTCATAAGTTTAAATGAAACATTGATTGGCCATTATTAATACCCAATTTTTTTCAGAATAAAGCAATATTTCCATTTACTCTCCCTCTTTCTCTCCTCTTTCTTCCTCTCCTTTACTTATTTATTTATTTTTTCTTTCCTTCTCTCAAAAAAAAGAAATCAACTTGTAAACCTCTAGATCCAGGTCGGCAATGTCTCTTTCATTGCTTGATTTCCTTTTTTCCCTTCCCTCCCTCCCTCCCTCCTTCCCTTCCTCCCCCCTTCTTCCCTTCCTTCCTTCCTTCATCCCTTCCTTCCTCCCTACCGTCCTCCTTCCCTCCCTTCCTGCCTTCCTCCAGAAGGAATAAATAAATAAATAAGAAATATCAACCAGAAGGAAAGAATATTCTCTTAATGCTCAGTTTTCCAAAAGAAATAGCTTAATCCTTGGAAATAAGGCAAATTAGAAGAATAAAATCTTGGACTCATCAGAATGTCTATCTCAGTAAAAGTATTTTGAAATATCACTTATAATTATCCTAAATCCTCAAATAAAATTTTAATTATATTAAGCCATAACTGTTTGGAAGCTTGGGAAAGTGTATAAAAACCAGATGCTGAGCTCTTTAGAGGAAGAGATTAGGACTTTTTATCTAGATCCCAAGCTAATACAAAGCTTTAATGTTGAATGAACATTTGCCATGTGTAGTCTTGGAAGTTTAAATTATAAGGTCTTTGTCTATGTTTTACAGCTTTTGGCTGATGCCAGCATTTATGCTCAAAAAGATAGTTCTTGGAAACTTTTCATCTGGCCCAGTGGACCCTATGATGGCTGATGCCATTGATTTCATGGTAGACAGGGTAAGGATCATGACACTGGGGTGGGGACACATGGTATTGGGAATTTTCACATCTACTTGGTTCCAGAAGATAGATCCGTCTCACTGAATATGTGTTAGAGGTAGTTGCTAAGCAGTCTTCCAGATCAATACATCTGAGCAGAAATTATTGCTGGGAAGGGCTTGCCTACATTAGTGTGTCCCACCAGCTGTTCATCAAAATCACTTAGGAGAGTTTTCAGAAATAGATTGTAAGGCCTCACACCAGACCCTCCATCGGGAATCCCTGGGCTTGGGATCTGGGAATCTATTTTTACTTCACATTTTCCCTCTACCCACCAGGTAAATCTGACACACCAGGTCCATCGGCTTGCCTTTGGGAACTGCTGGGCTAGATGATTTCTGAAGTCTCTTCTAGCTCTAAGATCCCTTAAAGGTTTAAAAAAAAAAAAAAAAAGATATATCTGTCACCTTTGAGCAGTAGGAATTGGCTTGCTGCCCCCAGGCACCTCGCTGGAGTAGTCAGTGCAGGTTGAGGGCTTTAGAAGGCCAGGTTTCATTGATTTGTATCCAGGTTTCCAGAACAGAAAACGCCACCACCTCCTGAGAAGCCCAGTTCATGTTCTCCCACATACATGGTGGTTCCTCACTGGTGGCTTTTCTGGCCCCACCACAGATGATACCACCTTTATAAGCACAAATATTGTCTGTAGATTTAATGTAAATGTGAAAAACAAAATGATGTCAAAAACTTTACCTGTGTTTCTTCCTGCAGCTAGAAAGTTTGGGTCAGAGTGAACTGGCTTCAAGACTTACCTTGAACTGTCAAAATTCTTATGTGGAACCTCATAAAATTCGGGACATCCCTGTAACCATTATGGACGTAAGCTTCCTTTTAAGTAAAGTAGCTGCTATACTTTTTTTAATGTGCATGTCAAGATCCCCTTTAAAACTATTTGACAGTTTTAATGTGCCTTTCAAGTGCTGCCTTGGTTTTTGTTTTCATCCTCCAGCTTTCTCAGTTCCAAAATAATCTGTTGATTGCTTGTCTTAGATTTCTTTCTGGCAGGAATAACAACACTGAAATCAAAATAGGCTGAGCACAGTAGCTTATGCCTGTAATCCTAGCGCTTTGGGAGGCTGAGGCAGGAGTATGGCTTGAGTCCAGGAGTTCAGGACCAGCCTGGACAACACAGTGAGACCCTGTCTCTTTTTATTAAAAAAAATAAATAAACATGAATCAAAATCAATTTAAACAAGGGCGTCTACCCATTTGGTATATTTTTGCTGTTCTCATCAATAGCCATTACATATCTGGGTAGCAAAGAGAAGGTACTTCACAAGGGTAGAGAATCAAGAATTCCATAGTCTAATTAGCACAAAGCTTGCTTATTTTTTTACTGTGGTAAAATACACATTAAAACATATACCATTTTAACCATTTTTAAGTGCACAGTTCAGTGGCATTAAGTATATTCACAATGTTGTGCAACCACCACCGTTTTCACAACATTTTCATCATTCCAAGAAGAAATTGCATACCCATTCAACAATAACTCTGTTTCCTTTTTCTCCCAGCCTCTGATAAGCAACAGTCTACTTTCTGTCTGTAAGAATTTGCCTATTCTAGGAACCTCATATAAGTGGAATCATACATTTATCCTGCTGTGCGGCTTACTTCGCTTAGCATAATGTTTCTCAAAACTTACCTTGAAATGTTATGCATGTGTCAGAATGTCATTTCTTTCTTTTTTTTTTTTCTCTGAAACAGGTTCTCATTGTGTTCCCCAGGCTGGAGTACAGTGGTGTAATCTCAGTTCACTACAACCTCTGCCTCCCAGGCCCAAACAATCCTCCCTCCTTAGCCTCCTGAGTAGCGGGAACCACAGGTGCACACCACTACATCAGGCTAATTTTTTATAGAGATGGAATTTCACCATGTTGCCCAGGCTGGACTCAAACTCTGGGGCTCAAGCTATCTGCTCGCCTCAGCCTCCCGAAGTGCTGGGATTACAGGTGTGAGCCACCATGCCCAGCCTGTCATTTCTTTTTGAAGTGGAATAATGTCTACCAATAAAACCAATGTTGGTTCATACCACATTTTGTTTATCCATTCATCCATCAGTGGGCACTTAGTTGTGTTCAGTTTTTGGCAATTGTGAATAATGCTTCTCTACACATGGGTATAAAAGTATGTTTGGGCTGCGCACATTGGCTCATGCCTGTGATCCCAGCACTTTGGGAGGCTGATGCAGGATTGCTTGAGCCCAGGAATTTGAGACCAGTCTGGGCAATATAAGGAGACCCCATCTCTACTTATAATAAAAAAAATTAGCTGGTCCCAGCTACTTGGGAGACTGAGGCGGAAGGATCACCTGAACCCAGGGGGGTTAAGGCTGCAGTGAACTTCGATCGTGCCACAGCACTCCAGCCTGGGCAACAGAGTGAGACCCTGTCAAAAAAAAAAGTGTGTATATATACACATATATATATGTTTGAGTTCCTGCTTTTAATACTTTTTTATTTTAAAATTATTTTTTTAAAATTATATTTTGTTTTTTATTTTCATGGGTACGTAGTAGATGTATCCTACTTTTAATTCTTTTGGACATACAGTTTGAAGTGGAATTGCGGGATCATCTGTTGAACTTTTTGAAGAACCACCGTACCATCTCTTCCACAGTGGCTGTGCCATTTCATGTTCCCACCTGCAATGCACAAGGGTTCCAGTTTCTCTATATCCTGGACACTTCTTTCTGGTTTTTTGGTTGATACTTATCCTGATGGATATGAATTGGTATCTCACTGTAGTTTCAACTTTAAAAAAAATCATGGCCGGGCACGGTGGCTCACGCCTGTAATCCCAGCACTTTGGGAGGCCGAGGCGGGTGGATCACGAGGTCAAGAGATCGAGACCATCCTGGTCAACATGGTGAAACTCCGTCTCTACTAAAAATACAAAAAATTAGCTGGGCATGGTGGCATGTGCCTGTAATCCCAGCTACTCAGGAGGCTGAGGTAGGAGAATTGCTTGAATCCAGGAGGCAGAGGTTGCGGTGAGCCAAGATTACACCATTGCACTCCAGCCTGGGTAACGAGTGAAACTCCGTCTCAAAAAAAAAAAAAAAAATTATAAAACTGTTTTGCCTTATAAATGGATTTGTCCCTAAATTCAAATAATAGGATATTTTTAATAATTGGTTTTTGTAGGGAAATTATCCATTATAAGCATGTAAACAACTTCTTATTCTCTGCCATAATTGCTGCATTCTGATAGAACAAGCTTTTCAATGTTTCTCACAGGGCATTTGCTCTGCCTGCTCTTCTTTCAAAGCCATGCTCATCACCTGGGTTCATGGTCACTGAAAACAGCCTCTGAGATTTAGTTGGAGATGCACTATTTTAAATATACAGATTTAGTGTGGTATATTTAGTATACACCATTTTTTACTACTTTTAGTTTTTGAAAAACTTCCCTGCATGTAAAACATAAATGTGTATGGATACTGAAAGATGTCTAGAATCTTATGCTACAACTGGCTTCCCCAAGAAAGAGGAGCTTGTACTCTTTACAGTTTTTTGGAACTTTTTCACTGAGCCTAAGTGACTTATGTTATTCCTTTAAATTAATAATAAAAGTAAAAAGTTATTTTGGGACTTCATGATCTTTTTGAAATTTATTGGCATTTGTGGTGATTGTTCTCTATTAATATTCTGTTAATCTACTTAGCTATATTTGAGGAGAAAGAAAATTCATGGTAGAATTTTCCCCCACCCCAGCCAGACGCAGTGGCTCACACCTGTAATCCCAGCCCTTTGGGAGGCCGAGGCGTGCTGATCACTTTAGGTCAGGAGTTCGAGACCAACCTGGCCAACATGGTGAAACCTCATCTCTTTCCTAAAAATACAAAAATTAGCTGGTGTGGTAGTGGGCGCTTTAATCCCAGCTATTTGGAAGGCTAAGGCAGAAGAATTGCTTGAACCCAGGAGGTGGAGGTTGCAGTGAGCCAAGATTGTACCCCTGCACACCAGCCTGGGTGACAGAGGGAGACTCTGTCTGAAAAAAAGAAAAAAAAAAAAAGAATTTCCCCCTCTAAAAGAATGCAGGAGATGCTTTGCAGCAAAATCTGTAGCTAATGTCTTGGGTTGGAGTTAGAAGTCACCAGGGATCAGCAGTAGAAGGTAGCTCAGGCTGCTAGGGGCACAGCACTCTCTTCATAAGAAAGGAATGCTTAGGGTAGCATTTCCATAACGTGAAAAGAACGTATTAAAACAGTTGATTACAGCTTTGTGTATGTGTGTGTGTGTTTTACCTTTCCTATGGTGCTGAAGCTTTATGTATTTTTTAAAGGTGTTTGATCAGAGTGCACTTTCAACTGAAGCTAAAGAAGAAATGTACAAGCTGTATCCTAATGCCCGAAGAGCTCACCTTAAAACAGGAGGCAATTTCCCATACCTGTGCAGAAGTGCAGAGGTGAATCTTTATGTACAGGTAGGGCCTAGCTTGAAACCCAGAGCACTCTAAGCCCAACATATGTTTGTAACATAAAGCCTTTTTTTTCATGGAGTAGTAAGGGGATCAGGGAACTATAGAATTCTTCGTAGGAATGAAGCAATGACTTGATAAAAGTGGTTTACATTTATAATTTGTAGGTCAATTTGAACATATATTAGAGATCCCCCACTGACTCCCTGCCTACCATCCCTTTTCCAAGAACAGGAGGCCTGCATTCACATATTGAGATAGCCATTGGCATGACGGGACCTTGCCCTCTGGACACAGTGAATTCCATCAGAGCAAGACACCAAACCTAAATGGGGTCAATCTGAGTCCTGTGAAGTGACTTCTTAATCTAATTTTAATGCATTAAAAGAAAACCCTAATAACACCACTCCTTCATACTCTAACTAAGTGGCTAATATGATAGCAGTGAGGGGTGAGTGCCCTGGCAATTTGGCAAGAAGAATCAAGAGCCTTAAAAAACCAGTCATGTTCCATGATCCTGTCAGCCACTTGTAGAAGACAGGATCCTGAACAGGAAAACCTGGTGCTGGAGATGTTCATCGTAGCAGCACTAGTCATAGTAGCAGAAGATTGGAAGGACCTAACTTACAGCAGCAGAAGGGAAGGGTAAACCTCTCCTCATGGAGCACGCACCATCTAAGATGTCTCAGGAGACTCTGCAGGACTCAGGGAGTGAGGAACAAAGATCCCAAATGTGGTTTTAAAAAATTGTTTGACTTTTCTCTAGTATGTATTAGTCTGTACATTTTAGAAGTAAAAAACATTTATCTCCTATGATGATTTTTCCTATCAAAACTTTGTAGAAGGCAGTGTACATTTTGTTCTGTAATGCAGCCATTTAAAATAATGATTCTAGCTGGGTGTGATGATTCAGGCCTATAATCCTAGCACTTTGGGAGGTCAAGGTGGACGGATCACCTGAGGTCAAGAGTTCGAGACCAGCCTGGCCAACATGGTGAAACCCCATCTTCTAAAAATAGAAAAATTAGTTGAGCATGGTGGCGGGCATCTGTAATGCCAGCTCAGGAGGCTGAGGCAGGAGAATTGCTTGAACCTGGGAAGCAGAATTTGCAGCGAGCCAAGATTGCACTGTTGCGCTCCAGCCTGGGTGACAAGAGTGACACTCTGGCTCAAAAAATAAATAAATAGGCCAGTGTGGTGGCTCACACCTGTAATCCCAACACTTTGGGAGGCTGAGGCAGGCAGATCAAGAGATCAAGACCATCCTGGCCAACATGGTAAAACCCCATCTCTACTAAAAATACAAAAATTAGCTGGGTGTAGTGGCACATGCCTGTAGTCCCAGCTACTCAGGAGGCTGACGCAGGAGAATTGCCTGAACCCAGGAGGTAGAGGTTGCAGTGAGCTGAGATCATGCCACTGCACTGCAGCCTGATGACAGAGCAAGACTCTGTCTCAGAAAATAAATAAAATAAAATAAATAAACAGATAAGTAAAATAAAATAATGATTCTGCATTTCAACAGATACATTTGCTGCAGTTCCATGGAACCAAATACGCGGCCATTGACCCATCAATGGTCAGTGCGGAGGAGCTTGAGGTGCAGAAAGGCAGCCTTGGCATCAGCCAGGAAGAACAATAGTTGTCTCTTGCTGTCAATGATAAGTTGACCCGGTGTGTTCTCATATAGTCCGTGGCATCAGCGTCCACCAGCTGGCCTTTTCCTTCAGGTTCGTCAGGCTCACCGGTTCTCACTGTGTCTGGGAAGTAGGACTGATGGTCATCTTCATGACAGGTGGCAGCTCCACTAAGCCCGTGTAACTGTTTGCTCTTCGGTTTTCTTAGCTTTTGAATTTGAAGAAGTACTTTTGAAGACTCCCGTTTTCAGAACTGTGCAAATTTTGCTACCAAAAGTCTTCATCACTGTGTTCTTAAGTGAATGTTAACTTCTGAGGTTTGGGATTTTGTGGGGACTTTTTTTTCTTCTTTACCTTTCTTCTTTCTTTCCTTCTTTTTTTAATGTTTGCTGCCAATGCTGCATCCAGATTGCATATCAGGTCATTGAGTATTTTATGCTTTCTGGATATAACGTTATCAGCGTGCCATGGCTATCACCCCACTGTTTGCTCTCCTGCAAATCAACTGCTTTTAATTTACACTTAAGCAAATTGTTCTGAGTGTTAGCTACTGTCTTTCTAGATATTACAGTCATTTGGAATAAAAATTCAATTTCACCGAGTTGCTTTTGTGATTATTGTGGCTGTCCAGTGGGGCTACGCAGGCCTAAGACTTCCTGAGAGGTAGGTCATGGTTGCCAGTTGTGTGTGACTTTGGGTAAGCTACTCCCTGAAGTAGTTTTTCCATCATCAGGTAACCCCAAGCTGTCATTTTTGATCTGCTACTGTGCGCCAGATCGTTTTCACATCTTCGTTCTTTCCCGAGTGGAAATTTTTAAACCCACATAAAGTAGAGAAAATAGCATAATGAATGATGTTCCCATCACCCAGCTTCAAAAATTATCAACTCTCAACAGTCTTGTTCATCTTTTTTTTTTTTCTTTTTGAGATGGAGTTTCACTTTTGTTGCCCAGGCTGGAGTGCAATGGTGTGATCTTGGCTCACCACAACCTCCACCTCCCAGGTTCAAGCGATTCTCCTGCCTCAGCCTCCCAGTTAGTTGGGATTACAGGCATGCACCACCACACGCAGCTAACTTTGTATTTTTAGTAGAGACAGGGTTTCTCCATGTTGGTTAGGCTGGTCTCGAACTCCTGACCTCAGGTGATCCACCCACCTCGGCCACTCAGTGTGGGGATTACAGCCGTGAGTCACTGCACCCAGCTTTGTTAATCTTTTAACCTACCTGCATTTCTTCCACACGTACTCCTATCACTAAATTATTTTAAAGCCATTTCTGGCGCTGTATCATTTCATCTGTAAATATGTCTATGTGTACCTTAAAGATAACAGCCTCAATACCCTTATCACACTTAAAAGTTTACCAATAATTCCTTCATATTGTCTAATGATCCAGTCAGTATTCTCACTATTATCCCATAACTGTTTTTTTTAATAGGTGACTTGTTCTAATCAGGTTTCATATAAAGCCCACACTTTGTATTTGATTGAAGTGTCTCAGATCTCTTAAATAGGAAGCTCTTCCTCCCTCTATTTTTTCTTGCCATATATTCAGTGAAGAAGCAGGTTCATTTGCCCTGTAGTTGCCCGACAGTCCAGATTTGGCCAACTGCAGCCTCATGGTGTTTTTCCACTTGTTTCTCTGTCCCTGGTATTTCCTATAAACTGGTAGTTTCATCTTCACTGTGTATCTTGACTTCTTCCCCCAGGAAGAAGAAATCCCATAGTTGTTTGCACACATCCATTACCACGCAGACTGCACTAAATGACAGTTATCAGTGTGCAAGCCCCTCTCCCCTACTAGACCCTAAGCTTGGGGAAGGGGAGGGAACTGTGGACTCTCATCTCTGTACCCAATCCTGGCAGACCACCTGACACAAAATCACCGCCGGTGAAGTATTCACCAGTGAGTTGAGCCATTGTACTTACATAGCACCAATCCATGGCAGCTTGTCTGACTTGGAATTTCACCCTGTATTTTCCAAAGAAAAGAAATGAGTACTGGATTTCGAGATCTAGTTCAACATTTCAATTTTATTGTATTTAAGAACTTTTTTGTCTCAGAAAAAAATCACAAAATTCATTTTATAAAATTCATCCAGAGAAATGATTTCAGTCCCGTGTGGTACAAAATACCTTTCCCAAATGGAATAGATGAGTTTATTTAAAAGCCTCTTTTTTATTTTATTTTTATAACTTTACTTTTAGCTTTTTAACAGACTTTCTATTTTAGAACAGTTTTAGGTTTAGAGAAAAATTGAGCAAATAGCACAGAGAGCTCCTATGTACTCTTCACCACGCAGTTTCCCCAATTATTAACATCTGGCATGAGTGTGGTACATTTGATACAACTGATGAACCATTATTGACACATTCCTATTAACTGAAGTCTGTAGCTCACATTAGGGCTCATACGTTGTGCTGTACATGCTATGGATTTTTTGTTTGTTTTTTGTTTTTTGAGACAGAGTCTTGCTCCGTTGCCCGTGCTGGATTGCAGTGTTGCAATCTCGTCTCACTGCAACCCTCGGATCCCAGCTTCAAGTGATTCTCTTGCCTCAGCCTCCCCAAGTAGCTAGGACTACAGATGTGCACCACCATGCCCAGATAATTTTTTGTATCTTTAGTACAGATGAGGTTTCACCATATTGGCCAGGCTGGTCTCGAACTCCTGACCTTGTGATCTGCCCACCTCAGCCTCCCAAAGTACTGGGATTACAGGCATGAGCCACCGCACCTGGCCACATGCTGTAGGTTTTGACAGTGTTATGTATCCACCATCACAGTGTCACACAGAACAATTTTGCAGCCCTCACACCTCCTGCGCTCCACCTCCTCATTCCTCCCTCCCTCTCACTGTCCCTGCAGCCCCTGGCAATCACTGATCTTTTCACTGTCTTTGTAGTTTTGCCTTTTCCAGAATGTCACATCCTTCCAGTTTGCAGTAAGTAACACTCTTATACATTTCAAAAGTTAAAATAGTATGAAAAGGTACCACTGAGAACTCTTTCCCACCCCGTCCTAGTCCTCCTGTTCCCCATTATCCTACTACCCCAGGGAAACCACTTGTATTAGCCTTTGTCTAGCTTTTATTTATACAAATATATTTTCTCATTTCCTTTCTTTCTTACACAATTAACAGCATATTAATAGTAGTATACTATATGCACTGATCTGTATCTTTTTTTTTTTGAAATGGAGTCTCACTCTGTCACCCAGGCTGGAGTGCAGTGGTGCCATCTCGGATCACTGCAACCTCTGCCTCCCAGGTTGGAGCAATTCTCCTGCCTCAGTCTCCCAAGTAGCTGGGACTACAGGCGCCTGCCACCATGCCCACTTAATTTTTTGTATTATTTTTTAAGACAGAGTTTCGCTCTTGTTGCCTAGGCTGGAGTGCAATGGCATGATCTCAGCTCACCGCAACCTCCGCCTCCCGAGTTCAAGCTATTCTCCTAGCTCAGCCTCCCAAGTAGCTGGGATTATAGGCATGTGCCACCTCGCCTGGCTAATGTGTTTTTAGTAGAGATGGGATTTCTCCATGTTGGTCAGGCTAGTCTCAAACTCCCAATCTCAGGTGATCCACCCGCTTTGGCTTTCCAAAATGCTGGTGTGAGCCACCGTGCCCGGCCAATTTTTTGTATTTTTAGTAGAGAGGGGTTTCATCACGTTAGCCAAGATGGTCTCGGTATCCTGACCCTGTGATCTGCCCACCTCGGCCTCCCAAAGTGCTGGGATTACAGGCGTGAGCCACCATGCCCAGCCCCTGTATCTTCTTTTTTTTTTTTAATTGTAATTATTCTTTTAATAAAATTCTTCACTGAGAGCAGGGAGGTCACTTTACTTTTCCAGAAGTCACACAATACATGGTAGAATCAAAGAAATATCTGCTGAGAGAAATACCATTTGGAGAAATAGTTAATAATTTTACAATATGCAGTAGAAGCAGACACATGAACAACTACAATGTAGGATACAAGTTTGGTCAAATAATCAGGAGAAAAAAGAATAAAAATTGCACTGGCAAATGGTTGTCCAAATTTTACAAGTCCAATTTTATAGTGCTGTGAAGAAAAGTATGAATATGAGACTCTCAGTAAACATTTGTGCATCCATGAACATTGTATTATTTAGATTTAAAGATAAAATTTTGGAAAACTAAAAATAAGTTTTGTAATTTCAAAGTAAAATAATATTTACTTTGAGAAAACATGTGGTAACTGTGATAAACCATAGCATTTATTCATATGTATAAGGTAAAAACACAGACATTATTTTCTTGTTACTTAAGGTGGGAGGAGGAATAATTGTGAAATTATGTTTCAATTTTCCAGCCTGGCCAACATGGCAAAACCCTGTCTCTAATACAAATACAAATATTAGCCAGGAGTGATGGCGTGCACCTGTAATCCCAGCTACTCAGAAGGCTGAGGCATAAGAATCACTTGAATCCGGGAGGGGGAGGTTGAAGTGAGTTAAGATCTCACCACTGTACTCCAGCCTGGGTGGGAGAGCAAGACTTGGTCTCGAAAAACAAGACAAAACAATTTTCATCCTTAAAGTGTAGCTCAGAAAGATTTAGAGTAAGAGCATATATTTTGCTCACAGCATATATGTTAAGAAACAAAAGATGCTAATTAAATATAACTTAGTGGTAAAGTTGTCTGTTTTTTTCCCCTATCATGTTTCATAAGGTAATAGACCACAAATGTGTTTTAGAATTTTTCTTAAGTTTTAAGAATCCAAAAGATGGCCAAGTGCAGTGGCTCACGCCTGTAATCCCAGCACTTTGGGAGGCCGAGGCACGTGGATCACCTGAGGTCAGGAGTTCAAGACCAGCCTGGCCAACATGGTGAAACCCTATCTCTACTGAAAATACAAAATTATCTGGGCATGGTAGCACATGCCTTTAATCCCAGCTACTCGGGAGGCTGAGGCAGGAGGATTGCCTGAGCCCAGGAGGCAGAAGTTGCAGAGAGCTGAGATTATACCACCACTGTACTCCAGCCTGGGTACCAGAGTGAGACTCCTCAAAAAAAAAAAGAAATGAGCCAAGAGCTCCAAAGGACCATACCTGTGTGACGAGATAACCCACAAAACCTGAAACAGCCCCTGGACCCATCCTCATGAAAAATATTACTATACAAAACATTGGCTTGCTGGGCTCTGCATGACTGTGAATTTCAGTAGAATCAGTTGGAGGTCTGTTAACAGTGATTTTTTTTAAAAGCTCTTAAATGGTGGTCATCTTCTGTTCCCATGGCTCCACACTCTGAGGCCCCACATCCCTGAAGGTCCGGCCCCTCTGCTTACATGGCTGTGCACCTCTTGGGGGCACTTGGGGCTGCGTTTACTTTCTTCCTGATGTTTTCTGTTAAAAACAAGAATCTTATTGCCTCTGTCACCTAAGCTCTGCCTCACAGGGCTGGTTTTATGTTTTAATTGCCTGCCAGAGTTTGTGTTAAAAGAAGATGCAACAACTATATTTAAGAACATTTTGGGAAAAGAAAGGTAGCGTCCCTAATCCCTCTACCCTGAAATGACTCTTAGCTTTTCCACCTTGCCTATAGCAATTACGGGGTGGTGGGCGGGGAGGGGGGTTCCTTTTTTCCATCGATAATATGCTAGAAATATTTCCCTCAGTAATATGCTAGAAATATGTCAGAAATGGTTTTCTTTGTTGCCTCATAACGAATGGAGCTTTCACAACTATCAGTGACTGCCTAGTAGCCCTTCTGTGGTTGCCCCATTATGTACCATGTCAATGGATATCACAGCGTTTAAGGCTTTTTCATCATGAACTGATTCTGTTTTTAGCAAGGGCTTAGTACTAGAACCTTCTATCCTGCTTGTCTGATGGTTCCACAGAACACTCTGAATCCCAAATCAGGCTTTTGGGATTGGCATACTCAAATAAGTTGTGATGACCTCAGGAGGTTTATTTGACCAGATATGACTGGTTCGACTCATATTAAGTCAGTTTTGGCTCCTGTGTCTTAATGTTTGTGAAAAAGAAGTCTGAAGATGGTTCCAGGCTTATTCCAAAATGGAAAAAAAATATCGAGGTATAGAAGGCTAGTAAGGAAGAGATTATGGATAGCCATCACCGGTTCCAGGGCTGTGACGGTCATAGGGTTCAGTTTGGGCCAACACCCTCATTGCACAAATGGGGAAACCAGAGCCAGGAGGCACTGTCACTTGCCCAAGGGAAGAGAGGGCAGGGCTCGGGGGAGGAATCTGGAAGGCCCAGAGCCAGCATCACATCATGCTTGTCTGAGCAGCCCTTGGAGGGCCCTGCTGCATTCCAGTGAGGGCCACCCAGGTCCTGAGAAGAAACCCAGCAGAGTACGCTCTTACCAGCCAGGCTCCTCCTGCCAATGGCCACAAGGCCCTCGAACAGTGCTTTGCTGGGGTTCTCACCAGCTGTGACCACACCATGCAGCCAAATGAGCAGCATTCGGTGGCCATGCTCCTGATAGCTCCTGGTGCCTGAGGACAATGAGGAAGGAGAGAGAGAGACGGAGACCAGAGCGCCTGTCTATGCCACCCTGTACCACCTCCTGAGCATGCCCAGGTGGGACAGAGGCCAAAAGCCTCCAAGGCCCTTCTTCATGCTCCAGCCAAGCTCAGTCTGGAGATGGGTAAGGGGAGTGGAGGAGCAGCTTCTCAGATGGGGTTAGGGTGTCTTGGTCCCTAGAACCTCCCCAGCCCCAGGCTTTCTCCTGAACACCCACTATACACTCTGTGGGTGTTACCTCTGAATGAAGAAAGAACTGACATTCATTGCTGTGGTAGCACAAATTGTACACTTCACCTCTCTGGCTGCTCAAAATAATCCGTGCCCTGCATTCTAGTGGCCTAATTTACAAATGAGAATACAGCTTAGTCAGACACAGAGCTGGCTGCACCAGTGGTTCTCAAGACTCAGCTGCTCCTTGGAAACATCCAGGACCCATGTCATTCCCAGAGATTCTGATGTACCTGGGTCTGGGTGCAGCCTACGCATTTGAAGGTTTTAAAGCTTCCCAGGTGGTTCCAACATACAACCATGTTTAGAAAATAACTGCCCACACTATTCAGTGCTGGCGTGGGGTTAACATGTTATTAAATCCTGTGATTCAGCTGGCTGTCCTGTGTTGGGGGAACAGACAGATGCTGGACCACGCCCATCAGGTCCAGATCACTCTATTTGCCCCTCTGGCCTTCCGTGTCCCTCTTGGGGCCCTCAGCAGACATGTCCTCATGGTGCTGCCCCTGCTGTGGTGGCACTTCTGCTTGACCCAGCCATCTCAACACCATTTACTTAATATCTCTGCCCCCACCACTGTGTACAAGTGCTTCTTTATCACATATGAAAGTTCTTATCCATAGCAGACTTTACTTTTGGACTCTGCTCTGTTCCACTGATCAATTTGCAAATTTTGGTGTCAGATATCTTCTTTTTTCTTTTTTCTTTGGGAGACAGAATCTCACTCTATCCCCCAGGCTGGAGTGCAGTGGCACCATCTCGCCTCACTGCAACCTCCGCCTCCCAGGTTCAAGCCATTCTCAGGCCTCAGCCTTCTAAGTAGCTGGGACTACAGGTGTATGCTGCCACGCCCAGCTAATTTTTGGTATTTTTAGTAGAGACAGGGCTTCACCATGTTGGCCAGGCTGGTCTCAAACTCGTGACCTCAGGTGATCCGCCCACTTTGGCCTCCCAAAGTGCTGGGGTTATAGTTGTGAGCCACAGCTCCTGGCCCAGGTATCTCTTTATGTTAATTTTATTTGGGCTTTATAAAAGGCTGAGTCTGCTTGGGTTAGATCCACTTTTTCCTCCCCCCAGAATATTCACTTATATATCCCTGTTTATTGTTTCAGAAAATTATAGAATGCTTCAGTCAAGTTTCAAAAACCTCCCATTTTGATTAAAACTGGATCAAAGTTTTAATCTAATTGGGGAAAAACCTGATATGTACATGATAATTTTTCTTGCCATAAATACAGAATGTCATTCCGTTTACACAAATCATCTTTTATAGTTGAACCATTATTGTTTTATTCATATGTGTCATCTACATTTGTCTTTTAGGTTTTTCAGATGAAACATACACACCATTGTAAATGGAATCTCTTTTAAAAAAAAGATTCTATATCAGGCCGGGCGCGGTGGCTCATGCCTATAATCCCAGCATTTTGGGAGGCTGAGGCGGGTGGATCACAAGGTCAAGAGATCAAAACCTTCCTGGTCAACAAGGTGAAACCCCGTCCCTACTAAAAATACAAAAATTAGCTGGGCAGGGTGTGCACGCCTGTATTGCACCATTGCACTCCAGCATGGGTAACAGAAGCAAAACTCCATCTCAAAAAAAAAAAAAAAGATTCTATATCTGTATATTTGTGTATATATATATATATATTAGTGTTAGTCTATTTTCTATATTTAGCCATTTCCTTGAATTATTTGATTCTTAGATTTTTTTTGTTGTTGTTAATTCCTCTGGACGTCCTATGTATATAAGTATACCATGTGAAATTAGTAAGTCTCTCTCTTCCTTTCCAATATTAACATTCCTTATTTCTGTTTCTTTTTCAAACCTTAGTACCACCTTTCAAACCTTTAACCACGTTGGCCAAAATTTCCACACAGATTTTGAATAATAGTGACAACAGCAGGCCCTCTTCTTTTTACCGAGAATGACTTTAGTTTTAGATGTAAACAGTGGGTATCGGTTTGGGCTGATTGAAGAATGTGAAATTCACAATCAGTGGGGAGGGAGAGGCAGAGTGCGCAGCCTGTGCAGAGGCCTGGAGGAGGGACAGAGCACCAGGTGTATTGGACGGTGTGAGAACAGGCTGTGGGTTGCACAGCCTCTTTCCCCAGAAGCACAGAAAACTGAACACACTCAGGTGCCCCCCACCCCTCTGCCTACTGGTTGCTTGGGGTGAGGAGAGGCAAGGTGGTACCTGTCCACTGTTGCTCAATGGCACAGACATGCGCCTCCGTGAACTCCCAGGAATATGCCAGCTTCTTCCACTCATGGGGCTGCAGAAACCTAGAGGCCAGCTGCCACAGCACAGAGCGGAGCTGCTGTGTTTCCTGCCGATGGTCCTGCTTAAAGGACAAGCTCTTCCCAGAGGGCTCACTGGGGTCCTTGCATGAAAGGTGGTCCTGTGGGACAGATCCCAAAACTGCAGAAGCTGTCCCTCATGATCCTGGACAGAGGCAATGCAGAGCCGAGGCCCTATGACCCTCCTACCACCTGTGCTGGTCTAGGAGCTGGAGTCAGCAAGGGCTGGAGGCTTAACGTCCTCTCTTCTGGTTTCTCACTCCATGCCCTGCCTTGATCTCTGGAACCCAAGTTGCTGCCACTGTTCTTCCTCCCAGAATTCCTCTGCTCACCTTCCTGACTCTCAACCTCACTGTCATGGTCAAAAGACACCCATGTGCCGCTTCCAGGGAGCCTTTCCAAATTCCTGCGGTCAGGTGCCTCTCTTTCCTGTGTTTGTTTGTTTTTGAGATGGAGTTTTGCTCTTGTTGCCCCGGCTAGAGTGCAGTGGCCTGATCTCAGCTTACTGCAACCTCTGCCTCCAGGGTTCAAGTGATTCTCCTGCCTCAGCCTCCCTAGTAGCTGGGATTACAGGCACCCGACACCATCACCAGGTCATTTTTTTTTTTTTTTGTATTTTTATTTTTATTTTTTTATTTTTTATTTTTTTTGAGACAGAGTCTCACTCTGTTGCCAGGTGCCAGGCTGGAGTGCAGTGGCACAATCTCGGCTCACTGCAACCTCTGCCCCCCAGGTTCAAGCAATTCTCCTGCCTCAGCTTCCCGAGTAGCTGGGACTACAGGCGTGTGCCACCACGCCCAGCTAATTTTTGTATTTTTAGTAGAGACAGGGTTTCGTTGGCCAAGATGGTCTCGATCTCTTGACCTCGTGATCCGCCTGCCTCAGCCTCCCAAAGTGCTGGGATTATAGGCTTGAGCCACTGCGCCCAGCCCTTTTTTGCATTTTTAGTAGAGATGGGATTTCACCATGTTGGCCAGGCTTGTTCTTGAACTCCCGACCCCAGGTGATCCACCTGCCTCAGCCTCCCTAAATGCTAGGATTACAGGCATGAGCCACTGTGCCTGGCCTCTTTCCTGTGTTCTTTTTTTAAAAAATTTTTTTAAAGACAGGGTTTCACCATATTGGTCAGGCTGGTCTTGAAATCCTGACCTCAGGTGATCCACCTGCCTCGGCCTCCAAAGTGCTTGGATTACAGTCGTGAGCCACCACGCCTGGCTCCTTATAGCATGGGCGTCAGCAGAAGGACTCCGAAGCTTTGGCCAAAACTAGGCAGGGCAAGAATCAGATTTGCTGAATTGCAATGGTTAGTAAAGGGTGGGATTACAAAATCCTTTCTAGCAAAGCAGGCAATGAAATTAGAGGTTATGAAGGAATTCTATCATAGCATAAATGAAGCCCACAAAAGCCTAAGCCCATCTAAAGGGAATGGATGCAGAGCTCTGGTTGTTAAATTCAGGGTGAGGAAAATCACCCTGGTGTCTGCAATTCCAAATTACGTCATGGTCAACAGTCTCTGGCAATCAATGTGAGGTGAAGCTTGGTCCTCACCTGGGGTATTAAAAACTGGTCCCTTGGGACAGTGTTTTAAGCCCTGTTTGCACATTGAGATCATCTGGGAGCTTTAAGAACCACTGATGCCTGGCCCCCACCTCAGAGATTCTACCTGAATTGGTTTGGGGGCCCAGGGGGGGATTTGTGATTCTGATATGCAGCCACTGCCTTAGTGGTGAGGACCTGTAAAGCCTGAAGTGGCTTAATAATCAGCAGAGAGATGAGTCGGTTAGTAAAACCCTCAGTATTAACATTTTGGGATTTTATTTAGGAATAATCTGTTACATATAAAGGGGTTGTAATGTTTAAGAGAATCTAGCATATGAGTGAGAGAACATCTTATGATTCCTACTGAAATTTATCCACCAATTGATTTTGAAACAGTAATTTTTATTTAAAAGGGATAAAAGAAGTTTACTAAGTTTGTAAACCACATTGAAAAGTTTAAGATATTTGAGATTATTTATAAGTTTAAATTAATGGTCATATTAGAATAATTTAAGAATTTAAGAAGCATTTGAAGTGCTTAAAAAGAAAATCTCTTTTTTTTTTTTTTTTAAGATGGGGTTTCACCCTGATGGCCAGGCTGGTTTTGAACTCCTGACCTCAGGTGATCCACCCACCTCAGCCTCCCAAAGTGCTAGGATTACAGGCGTGAGCCACCACACCCGGCCAGAAAATCTATTATATTAAATTTATTCATTCAATTTAAATGTTTAAGGTAGTTTAACTAAGTTTAAACATGGGACCCAACATTAATCAAAAGACTTCCTTGAAGCTGCCTGGAAAATTTACTAGTTGTATAAAGAGAATAATAAGATTTATAAAACGGATTTTAAAGTTTAAGAAAAACTAGGTTTTAAAATTTGTAATTTACCACATTCAATACAGATGCCCCTCTACTTATGATGGGGTTATGTCTCGATACAAATATCGTAAGTTGGCTGGGTGCAGTGGCTCATACCGCCTCTTTGGGAGGCTGAGGCGGGTGGATCACGAGGTCAGGAGATCAAGACCATCCTGGCTAACACAGTGAAACCCTGTCTCTACTAAAAATACAAAAAATTACCCAGGTGTGGTGGCACACGCCTGTAGTCCCAGCTACTCAGGAGGCTGAGGCAGGAGAATCACTTGAACCCAGGAAGCAGAGGTTGTAATGAGCCAAGATTTTGCCACTGAGAGAGACTCCGTCTCAAAAAAAAAAAAAAAAATCATAAGTTTAAAATGCATCTAATCCCCCTAACCTACAGACCATCATAGCTTAGCTTAACCTACATGTGCTCAGTACACTTACGTTAGCTCATAGTGGAGCAAATCATCTAACACAAAGCTGATTTTATAATAAAGTGCTGAATATTTCATATAACTTACTGAATACTGTACTGAAGTGAAAAGCAGCATGGCTGCCTGGGTACTTAAAGTGTGGTTTCTACTTAATGTGTATCGCTTTTGTGCGAAACCATTGTGATTGGGAACCATCTGTATTAACTTTGAAAAGTGAAGTAAATGCAAACTTATTTTCTGTATATAGAAACAACCCAAGGACAACAACAAAAAAAACTCCCTACCCCCATTTGCTAACTGGATTAGCAAACATTCTGCCAATCTTCTGTCCCAAGTCCACAGCAGACATTGCTAATCAATCCCAGCACACTTACTTCTGGCTCAGGAAGTTGCCCAAGCATAACATCCCAAGCAGCAGTTCCAATCACCTGGAGATGGCATGAGATGGAATCTGCCATCTCTTTTTCACACGTCTGTATATATTCACACATGCATGCATTCATCAGCCAGAAGCTACAGCAGTGTCTGGCAGTATCTCCACGCTGGCCTGGACCTCAGTCTGCCTTGTTTCAGTGTGTTTGGACACTTGCCCATCATCATATCCTCACAAACAACTGTGAAAGCATACAAGGTGATGATTTTCACCCACTTGGAGACTGAGGGACCCAGAATTGGTCAAGGCTGGGGTTCAAAGCCAGCTCCATCTGGAGCCAAAATCACTCCCTTTAAGATAAAGTGTGCGGCCTCCATACCTTCTCCCATCTGTAGAAACGATCAGCTTTTATGATCATGTCCACCAGGCTGATGTGGTTGCTGCGGGCGGCCACTGCCAGGGCAGTTTTTCCCTGCTGCAATTAAGAGGCAAGAAGAGAAGCCAGAGTTTCTACAGGAGGGGGTGCATGAGGGCCTCTAAGACTGAGGACAAACCCTCCTGCCCACAGGAGAGGGTTTCCAGCGGTCTATGCTGAGAGCAGAAAGGTTTTCTGGTTTTCTGGGCACGATAGGGATATGGAAAAGTTACATATAGAATAAAGCAATAGCAATACATAATTCCAATGAACACCTCTTGTGTTTCTTTAGAAATTAGGAAGCTTTAGAGCTTATGAAACTCAGCCCTCATTACTTCTTCAACATCCTCTGTAAACTAGGGGTTCCCACCCACTTTTCAGATAAAGAAACCAGAGCCCAGAGATGGGGGTGTGGGCTGATCATGTCACCTTTGCCCACCTCCAATCAGGCCTTCTTTTCTCCAGGCCTTTTCTCCAGGCCTCCACAGACTTGCAGTGAGATGGGAAGCTCCTCTTTACATCTGGAGAGCTGCCCAGGGCCTAGCTCAAAGCAGGGAGTCCCCTCCTAGGTCCAGCTTCAGGGTCTGATCCTGGCCCCCAGCTCTACCCACACCATGGCAGGCCAGCCTCGCTGAGTCACATGTGCAAGTGCCCCTCCCCTCATACTCCTGTGACCTCCCAGCCTCATACCAAGTCTTCGGCTCTTCTGAGACCACCAGCACCTGCAGAAGTAGCTGTCCCAGAGGTACAATGAGCTGGGAAGCTTCCCCAAACCCTGTCCCACATGTGGGGGTTGTTGGGAAGTGCTGTGGTATTCTTCTACTCCCCCATCCCATCAGGCAACTCAGGAGCTTGCAGCCTGATGGGAGCCATAAAGAAGAAGGCAATCATTTCACAGGCCTATACCAGAGACGGGGGACCTCAGCAGAGAGAGGGGAAGGTGGTAGAGGAGGAGGCTGCATTTGAGCTGGCATAGAAAGGATGGCAGTCCTTGAACACCCTGAGAGGGAGGAGGGAGGAGGCATTTGTAGCAGGGTCTCTGGCAGAGGGGGAGCCATGAAAGCCTAAAGTGAAGTGGATTATAAGCAGAGGTACCTTATCTCTCAGGTTTAAGTCAACCCCAGCAATGAGGAGAATCTCTGCTACGTCCTGCCACGCGTGCTCTGCAGCCAGGTGAAGGGGCGTCTGCTGCCTCTAGGGGAAGGAACAGGTGAGTGAAAAGCATATAGGGGTGGCCTGCCATCCTAAGTCAACCCCCAAAATGATCCTAGTATATTTCTTCTAGTCTTTTCTTTAATGCAGAATGTTTTTAGCTTGTTGGTTTTACATACATGAGATCATCCTATATGTATGTACATTTTGCATCTTATTTTTTTACCCCAACATAACACTTTTTATGTACTATTAACTCTGATAAACACCCTTTTGATAACTCCCTAATAGTCTATTTATGCCATAATTTACCTAATCGCTTCCCTATTTCCCTATGAGTAAATATTTAGGCCATTTTCTCTTTTTTTTTTTTTTTGAGACAGAGTTTTGCTCTTGTTGCCTGGGCTGGAGCGCAGTGGTGCGATCTCGGCTCACTACAACCTTCACCTCCCAGGTTCAAGCGATTCTCTGCTTCAGCCTCCGGAGTACTTGGGATTACAGGCACGCAACACCATGCCCAGCTAATTTTGTATTTTTAGTAGAGACAGGGTTTCACCGTAGTAGCCAGGATGGTCTTGATCTCCTGACCTTGTGATCCACCTGCCTCAGCCTCCCAAAGTGCTGGGATTACAGGCATGAGCCACTATGCCCGGCTAGGCCATTTTCAAATTGAAGACTGATAAACAATACTGCAGTGAATATCTCTATGCATGAGCTTTTAAGCTCATGGCTCAAGGCTCAGTTCCCAGCAGCGCTAATGCACATCATTTAAAGATATATGATATATTCTGCCAAATTGCTTTCAGCTCCCAGTGGCTCTGTGTGCCATGCCCTTGCTAGTATTGAGAATTACATGGCTGGTGGGTAGATTGTGGGGACAGGATTTAAAAGGGCTCTTTACTGATCATAGCTTCAGGACTCAGATGCCTCTTGTTAAACAAGATGGCCGCAGTCACCCCTGCCCTCGGAAAGAAAAGCAATGAAAGGAAAAGGCTGAATGTAAAAAGACGTTCACTGCAATGTTATAGATCACAGCCAAAACGTGGGAACACCCAAAATGTTCAAAAGAGGGGCATGATGAACAAAATGATATTTCCTTCAACAACTATTCAAATTACCTTTTAAGGGCTAAAAAAGCAATTCCTCAACTCTGGGCCATTCTAGGAGACCACAGCCAAGCCCTGCCAGCCTGGGAGGGTTTCCAGAAGCTCCCTGGGGCCCGGATGGTCTCTGTAGCCACTTACATTGTCCATGGCATTCAAGTCACCGTCAGAGTTCATGAAGAGCCGGACCAAGGCAGGGAAGTTGTGCCTGACAGCGAGGTGCATGGGAGAGGCGCCCTGCTGTGGGAGGAGATACATGGATCAATCAATGAGTCCCTCCCAGGACTGCCCAGCTGGAGGCTGGTGCTGGGGACAGGAGGAGGGAAGGGTACAGTGCTTCTGGGTTTGGCCCTTTAGCTTCTTAGATGACATGGATGGCCTTAGGCAATTATGGTCGAAAAGCTTGAATTCCTAGAGCCCAAAACTGAGCCCCTAGGTGGGTGAGGGTCTGAAGACACAAGGTTGAGACCCCTGCTATGTCAGGAACTCACTATGTGACCTTGGGCGAGTCATTTCCCTTCTCTGCTACTCTTCATCTGTCAAGTGACGTTTGCCATGGTCCCTCCTAGCAACAATACCTTAAGATTCTTGGCCGGCCACCGTGGCTCACGCCTGTAATCCCAGCACTTTGGTAGGCCAAGGCAGGCAGATCACCTGAGGTCAGGAGTTCAAGACCAGCCTGGCCAACATGGTAAAATCCTGTCCCTATTAAAAATACAAAACTCTGCCAGGCGTGGTGGCAGGTGCCTGTAGTCCCAGCTACTCAGGAGGCTGAGGTAGGAGAATTGCTTGAACCTAAGAGGTGGAGGTTGCAGTGAGCCGAGATCTTGCCACTGCACTCCAGCCTGGGCAACAGAGCAAGACTCTCTCTCAAAAAAACAATAACAACAACAACAAAAACCCCAATGCCTAAATGAGCAGAAAACAGGAACTGATAATTCATTTCAGAGGAATTGCAAGCTTAGTTTCTGATCCTATTCCAGCTACGACAGTATTTGACTTTCCTAAGTGCTGCCAGCTCCCCTACTCCTGGCCCGCATCCCAACCCCAAGGGTCTGATGTGCCGTTTCCCCCTGTGCTTCATCAGTGTGCTCATGGAAGGCTTTGCAATGGAGACCCCCTTCAACCCTTGTACCCACACTTACATGATCAGCTACGTTGGTGCAGCCTCCTGCGTGGATGAGGGCCCAAGACATGTCCTCTGAGCCACTGAGGGCTGCATAGTGAAGGCAGCTCAGGTTTTTCTAGAAGGAAACAGGCATCGATGCAATGTCACAAGGACCCCTCCTGCTGAGGTTTGCAAAGCTCTTTGAGATTCATTTTTCCATTTGAGTGTCACAACCCCTCTGGGAGTATCATCCCCATTAAACTGAGGCTGGAAAATCAGTTACTTTCCCAGGCCTGGTGACCAGTACAAGAAACTCACTATGGTCTCAGTCTTTCCCTCACCTCCTATTACAAAGGCAGGAATGTAGGCTAAAGCCTGCCCAATTCCATGGCTGGTAAAGACATGCAGATGATCGATTCTAAGGAATTGGTTTCTTTTTCTTTTCTTTTCTTTTTTTTACGAGACAGAGTCTTGCTCTGCCACCCAGACTGGAGTGCAGTAGCATGATCTCAGCTCACTGCAACCTCCACCTACCGATTTGAAGCAATTCTTCTGCTTCAGCCTCCTGGGTAGCTGGAATTACAGGTACCCACCACCACACCCAGCTAATTTTTGTATCTTTAGTAAAGACAGGTTTTCACCATGTTGGCCAGGCTGGTCTTGAACTCCTCACCCTGTGATCCATTCGTCTTGGCCTCCCAAAGTGCTGGGATTACAGGTGTGAGCCTCTGGGGTGGAGGTAGTTTTCAGAGAGGAAGACAAGTAAGATTTGCCAGTACAGAGCAGACACCACCCAGCATGCACTGCTCATCACAAGCTGGTCTTGGCACATCCAAACAGGATCCTGGCAGAGCCAGAATGGACACATGATCTCGGTGGGCCTCAAACTCTCTTTCAGTCAAAGCCCAACCTGGCCCAATGATCACCTTGCACAAGGTACATATCAGGCAAGTCCCACTAAGGTGATCCACTGTCTCAGTTTGCCCAGGATTGAGGAGATCATGAGATGTGGGACTTCCCGTTTTAAAATCAGGACAGTATGGGACAAACCAGGGCCAGCTAGCCATCCTGCTAAAGTCCCAATTGAGTGAGCACCTGGGCTGTGTGGGACTCAGTCCATCTCACAATGAGAAATGCAGTCACCATGGGCTTGCCACCTCCTCCCAGACCCTGCAGCGTGACATTCTAAGAGGAGTGGGACTACTGAAATGGAATGTGACCTCTGCCAGAAATTGCAATCAGAGGCTGAAGCACAAGCCCTGGCGTGATGAACAGCTCCAGCCCCCACCCAGTGGCCACCCAGCTGGGTGTAACCTCCCCAGTCTTTCTTTTATTTTTTTCTTGAGACAGGGTCTCACTCTGTCGCCCAGGCTGGAGTGCAGTGGTGCAATCATAGCTCACTGCAGCCTCAGACTCCTGGCTCAAGCAATCTTCCAGCTTCAGCCTCCCAAAGTGCTGGGATTACAGACATGAGCCACCTTACCCAGACTACTTATTTTTTTTTTTTTTTACAAAGCCAGTAAAATTAAGCAGTGGGGAAATAATTTTTTAGCGTAACATTTTAATTCTGTGTTTTTGAACTATTTTTGCTATTATTTATATTGTTGTTTTTTTGGTTTTAATTTTTGAGATGGAGTCTGGCTCTTGTCGCCCAGGCTGGAGTGCAGTGGCGCGATATTGGCTCACTACAACCTCTGCCTCCTGGGTTCAAGCAAGTCTCCTGCCTCAGCCTCCTGAGTAGCTGGGACTGCAGGCGCTTGCCACCATGCCCAGCTAATTTTTTTTTATTTTTATTTTTAGTAGAGATGGGGTTTATTAGCCAGGATGGTCTCGATCTCCTGATCTTCTGATCCACCCACCTTCTGATCAGCCTCCCAAAGTGCTGGGATTACAGGTGTGAGCCACCGTGCCTGGTCATATTATTTATTATTAATATTTCTGCTATACTATTGACATCTAGAACAAAGCAAGAATTATAGAACCTGAGCCATTCAACCAGCCAGAAAGATTATTTGTCACTGATTCAAAAATAAAAAGCAAAGCAAAAACACCAACTCACTACCTAAAGAAGGCCACAATCCAGCTTTCCAGGTCATAGAGAAGAATTTCTTTTCTTTTTTTGAGATAGAGTTTCGCTGTTGTTACCCAGACTGGAGTGCAATGGCGCGATCTCGGCTCACCACAACCTCCGCCTCCTGGGTTCAAGCAATTCTCCTGCCTCAGCCTCCCGAGTACCTGGGACTACAGGTGTGCACCACCATGCCCAGCTAATTTTTGTGTTTTTAGTAGAGACGGGATTTCACCTTGTTGTCCAGGATAGTCTTGATCTCTTGACCTCGTAATCCACCTGCCTCGGCCTCCCAAAGTGCTGGGATTATAGGCGTGAGCCACTGCGCCCGGCCCGAGAAGAATTTCTACGGGCAGAATTGATGAGTACAGTGGGGAGAGAGAGAAGAGGTTCTTCCAGGGTCACACAAGCCCCAGCTCTGTCAGGGGAAAGCTTCACTGGTGGGTGGCACTCTGGAGTCAGGGGAACAGGCTTTGAAACTCAGCTTTACCTCTTACTAGCTTGTAAACCTGAGAAAGTGCCCTCTAAGCTCCAGTTTTCTCATCTGCAAAATGGGTGGAATTTTTCTGAGGTAACACTTATGAAGGGGCTTTGTGAACTATCAAGAGCTCAACAAATAGAAGACAGTAACAGGGCCGGGTGTGATGGCTCCTCCCTATAATCCCAGCACTTTGGGAGGCTGAGATGGGCAGATCACTTGGGGTCAGGAGTTCAAGACCAGCCTGGTCAACATGGTGAAACTCCATCTCTACCAAAAAAATACAAAAATTAGCCGGGTTTGGTGGCATACACCTGTAGTTCCAACTATTCAGGAGACTGAGGCAGGAAAACTGCTTGAACTGGGGAGGCGGAGGTTACAGTGAGCCAAGATAGCGCCATTGCTGTCCAGCCTGGGTGACAGAGGGAGACCCATCTCAAAAAAAAAAAAAAAAAAGACACTAACAGGTGTTGAGGTGTTGGGCTGTATTACATCCTGCGCACTGTGTTAGGTATTTAATCCTCTCAACTATGTAAAAAGTAAATGTCATCCCACTTTATAGTTAGGAAACAAGGCTCAGAGAGGTTAAGTAACTTGCTCTGGGTGGTCACAGGGCTCAGCAGTGGAGAAGCCAGGATCAGGACCTGGCCTGCTGCCTAGAAGCTTCTATTCACGCAGCATTCAGGAATCACTGTGGCCGTTACTTCCGACATGGTTATGGCTCAGCAGCCAAGAGCAGACGGCACTCTTGGGAGGGCCCAGCTACCTGGGTGAGTGCGTTCACGCTGCTCCCAGCCCTAAGAAGGAGCTGCACACAGTCAAGGTGGGTCCCCTCAGCAGCTGCATGCAGGGCGGTCAGACCTTCCTGCAACACACAAAGAGAGTGATGAGGATGGCAGGGAGGCCCACCCAAGGGACCCCCAATCCCACAGTGAGAGGACACCTCTTCTGCCTTGGCCCCAAGGCCCCTTGAGCTCTCCACTGCCCTGCCCCTGGGAACAATAAGCTTTCTTGTTTGTGGTCACATGAGCCTCACGCTGATGTCCTCACTTTGTGGAGCACACACATGGCATAGTCACTCCTGGCTCCACATCTCTGCTCGAATTCTTCCCCTAACAGGCTGTCTCAGCTCCTCCCCACTGTCTATTTCCTCCTACTCCAGGAAGCCCTCCCCAACCAACCTGTCCATGGTTACTTCTCCCTTCCTTGAACAAACTCTGTCTCACTTCTTTGGTGATCCATCATGCCAAGTGCCACCTCTAAGCCTGGAGTTCAGTGCTGCTGCTTGTCATTCCCTAGTGGACTCTCAGTGTGAGATCATGCCCTCAGCCTCCTCACCATGGGCTGAGGCTTCCTCAAAGGCAGACAGCAAGCCAGGGTCGCACATCTCAGCATCCCCCAAGTGGTGACTCACCGCATTCTGCTCCTCCAGGTCCAGCCCGATGTCCACAAGTCGCTGTAGCACAGCCACATGGCCCCGGCCAGCAGCCAGGTGAAGGGCTGTGTTCCCCTCCTGCCAGAAAAAGGGCTCTTGAGAGGCCAGCAGATCACAGAGCCCCAGAATCACAGAGCTGCGATGAGCTGCAGCCATGCACACTGGGTGAATGGTCCCCCAAATCCATCTCTTCTCACTGCTAAGGTCCCAGCAACTCTCCCCTGAGCTCATGCTGTTCCAGGCAGCTGCTTGGCTCAGTCACCCGCCTCCCTCAAGTCTGTGTATGAGATGGTGATTTCTTATTGAGTAGCATGGCCTACCCGGCCCACATTCTGAAACTGCAAACCCCACCTCTGTCCTCCTAAGCCTATTTTCCTGCCCTGCTTTTCCTTTCCCCACCACACAGATCACTGTCACTGACTGTGCCCCTAGTGTTTATTGTCTGACTCCGGTTTTTTTTTTTTTTATTTTACTTTAAGTTCTGGGATACAGGTGCAAAACATGCAGGTTTGTTACATAGGTAAACGTGTGCCATGGTGGTTTGCTGCATCTCTCACCCAGTCACCTAGGTATTAAGCCCCGCATGCATTAGCTATTTGTCCTGATGCTCTCCCTCCCCTCACCCTCCCAACAGGCCCTGGTATGTGATGTGTCCATGTGGTTCTCATTGTTCGGCTCCCACTTATAAATGAGATCATGCAGTGTTTGGTTTTCTGTTCCTGTGTTAGTTTGCTGAGGATGATGGCTTCCAGCTTCATCCAGGTCCCTGCAAAGGACATTATCTCGTTCTTTTTTATGGCTGCATAGTATTCCATGGTGTATATGTACCACACTTTTTTAATCCAGTCTATCATTGATGGGCATTTGGGTTGGTTCAACATGTCTGACTCTTCTTGCTGGAACATGAGCACCACAAGAGCAGGGCTGTGCATCTATTTTGTTCTCTGACATTTCCTTAAATGCCTAGAATAGGGCCTGGGGTACATGGCCAACACTCCGTAGTGTTCAATGAGTCAGTAATGTAGGAGGGTCTTCAGGTGATCATATAGAGAGCTTGACATGTGTCCTCTGGAACTTGAGTTGCTTTGCACTTGGAAAGCCAAAGATGACAGTGACATAGCCAAGAGAAGCAGCTGCATTGGGCAGGGCTGAGATCCCAACATACTTTGTATTAGAAGTGGCCCCTGCTGAGGTCTTCCTGCTTGAGGTTGTCCTTTAAAGGGATCTCCCTGCCAGGCACATTGCCTCACACCTGTAATCCCAGCACTTTGGGAGGCTGAGATGGGCAGATAGCTTGAGCCCAGGAATTCCAGCCTGGGCAATACAGTGAGACTCTGTCTCTACAAAAAATACAAAAATTAGCAAGATGTGATGGTGCATGCCTGTAGTCCCAGATACTGGAGAGACTGAGGCAGGAGGATTGCTTGAGCATGGGGAGTTGAGGCTGCAGTGAGCTGTGACTGTGCAACTACACTACAGCCTGGGCAAGAGAACAAGATCTTGTCTCAAAAAAAAAAAAAAGTTGAATTCAGCTAAAAATAATAAAATTTAAAAATATGTTTTAAAAGCCCTCAACAGCTTTGTCTTCCCCTCCTTGCCAGCTTCTCTGCAGACACACATAGCGCCTGTAGGCTGGCTGCTGCAAGCTGGGACCAGCGGTGGGAAATGCAGTCACAGCATAAAATCTCTGTGTTCAAAGACACAAAGGAAGCAGGTGAACCAAGAAGGGCCAAAACGTGCCCCCAGTTAGCAGGGTGAGGAGCCATGGCAGGGCTTTCCTCTTCCTTCTGGGTTATAAATATCCACGTCTTGCCATTTGAAGCTGCAAGTGGCACACATGGATGCCTGATGGGCACTCGCACTTTCCTGGGCAGGGCAGGGGGCTCGGAGGCAGGAGAGCTGGGCAGAAGGCAGCCTTGGTGTGGGCCTGGGGCCCTCTCGCCTCCACCTTGAGGATGTCCAGCATCTCCACCTCTGTGAGGCCTGGACAGCAACACCGTGCCCTTCCAAGTGGAGTTCATCACTCTCTCTGGGCTCTCTAAGCCTCCCTATCATTCTAGAGCACATGTGGTGCGATCTCTGTTGTTATTGACTCTAAGAGGTCTATCCCCCTTAGCACGCCTTGAAAAACTTACTGTGCCCCCTCCCCAGATGAAAGTGAAAATGAAAACACTCCTATCCTGAAAATGCAAACTTAACAAGGGTATGCAATTTTAAAAGCTTCTTTGCAGAATTTCTGGTTGCAAGATTCTGGAGAACTTAATCAAACCTGTATTTTCTTGCTCTGTTCTTGGTGCTCATGCTCTCCTGGGGCCCTGAGGTGTGATCATTTTGCCTCTTGGGTAAGCCAGTCCTGGCAGGTGCTGCCCTCTCCTCTCTCTGTTTGCCCAATTCCTGGCTCAATGCCTTGCACACAGCAGGACCTGCTCAGCCCAGAAGGATGAGTGTGGATAGACTCGGTGCAGAACCCATGGGGGTCAGTGCCCCAGGAGGCAGCCTGGTAAAGGGAGGAGCACAGCTTTATGCATCAGGGTGATGGTTCCACATTGAGCTCTACCTTTGTCTCACTGTGTGACCTTGGCTAAGGCATTTCCTTCTCTGGGTATCAGTTTCCACAGCTGTAAAATGAGAAGGCCGAATTCAGAGGCCTTCCGGTTCCTACACCCTGTAGTGCATTTGTGTGTGAGCGCTCTATTGCTTCTGTATACATGGAACTCCCTCTATCCTGGCCAAGCACATTAACCAGAAGATTAATAATGGAGTTTATCTCTTTGTTGGAGGCATCATTTAGAATTTGCTAAAACATATTTTGTTAATGATTCAAAAGGGTATAATGATAAGAGTCATTGCAGAGTAGACCCTCCGGTCCCCGTCCCTCATCCCCTCTCAGTTGGGTGAAATCCTGCTCATAAGCCGTGAAATAATATGCTCGCTCCTCTGTGCTTCCATCCTATTCCTGCCATAACCATAGCAGAGCAGCTGTGTGGCTACCACCCCCAACAACTTCCCCACATCTGCCAAAAACAGACAAGCCCAGTAGATCACAGCCCTGCTCAACCCACTCCAGGCAGCGCTACCAACCACCTAGATCTGCCAGCCTAGCCAGCCACGATGGATCAGAGATCCTTACTATGACTGTGGCACTGAGTTCCTTAAGTAAGAAACAGTGTGGGCCAGGTGTGGGCCAGGTGTAGTGGCTCACACCTGTAATCCCAGCACTTTGGGAGGCCGAGGCAGGTGGATCACTAGGTCAGGAGTTCGAGACCAGCCTGACCAACATGGTGAAACCCTGTCTCTACTAAAAATACAAAAATTAGCCAGGCATGGTGGTGTGCACCTGTAATCACAGCTACTCAGGAGGCTGAGGCAGAAGAATCACTTGAATCCTGGAGACAAAGGTTGCAGTGAGCCAAGATCATGCCGTTGCCTGTGCTCAGCCTGGGCAACAGAGTGAGACTCCATCTCAAAAAAAAGAGAAATGGTGTCTTGGGCATCTTTATGCCACCAACCTGTAGCGCAGGGCTGGTCTATGGCACATGCTGGTGAAGCACCTGCTGGATGAACACTAGATACCCTCTCATCTTTGGCCCACGTGTCCCTCCAGCACAGTGGGAGTCAGATGTGGATACAGGTGAGAAGCCAGAGCCTAGAAGGTAGCAAGTTTTGCACCCTGGTCAGGATCCCAGAATCTCACAGACACAGTACCTTGTCTTTGACACTGTGGTCACAGCCAGAGCCCACGAGGAAGTCCAGAGCATCCAGCTGCCCGTGCTCAGCTGCCCTGTGAAATGCTGTCCTCCCCAGCTGGCCAGGAGGAGAAGGGGTGTGACCCTCCCTCATTCTGTCAGCGGGCATACCTGCCTCTGCCCACCTGCCCTCTGTTCCCCAACCACTCTGGCCTTGCAGTGGCCTCTCCTGCCCCAGACACTGTCCTCTCCTCTTGCCTCCCCACACCCTCCCTGGAAAGCCCAGACCTAACTTCCCAGCAAAAGCCACTTGGTGGGGTCCCTCCTTTCTGCCTAATGAATAAACAGATTCCTGAGAACAGGGGTTAAGATCTCCAGAGGGACCCCCAAACACCCATCAGACTTTCCCTCCTAATATTACAGTCCCTCGAACTCACACTAGAGCCCATTCCTGTCCCTAAAGCTCCCACAAGCCTCACTCTTCCATTTGGTGCCCCCTCCAACCCCTGATTTCCTATCCTACCCACAAATCCAGTTTATTTACCAAATGTTAACTCCTCCAGGAAGCAGAAGCAATGCCTCCCTTTTCTAACCCACCTAATCCTTGATCAGGGCATCTCTGCAGTACCTGACTGTGTTCTGCTTGTATTTTACTCATTTGCACCCCAACACCTCTTCCCAACCAATGGCTCCGCAGGCCAGCTACAGTCTGCCCACAGATCAAAGGATGCACCCGAGGAATGTGGTAAGCCCGGTGGGCAAGAGTGGCCCCAGGAGCACCCCCCACCCCCAACAATGGGAACGATAAGTAGTCCTGAGACACTCTCACCTTGTCTATGTGGTCCAGGTCCACATCCTCCAGGTCCTCCATTATGAATGCCAGCACAGGCACATGGCCTTTTTGGGCTGCACAGTGCAGTAAAGTCAGGCCATCCTAGAAACAAGTACAGGATGATCCCTGCAGTCTGCGAAGGGAGGCCCTTCTCACACACTGCTAGTCTCCCAAGCAGTGAGTGTTTCAGACCCAGAGCACAGCTTCCCCATGGATTCAACACTGTAAATGATGAATGGGCCCCAGGGAGAACTCACTCTGCTGCCCACTCAGTCTAAGAGGGGCTGGCAGGAGTTGGGATGCCAAAGTTCAAATTCCAGCTCCAGCACTCCTCAGCTCTGCAGTCTTGGGTCAGTTACTGCCTCCTCTCTGAGCCTCCGTTTTTGTTTTTGTTTTTTTTGAGATAGAGTCTTGCTGTGGCACAATCTTGGCTCACTACAACCTCCGCCTCCTGGGTTCAAGCAATTCTCCTGCCTCAGCCTTCTGAGTAATGGGACTACAGGTGTGCGCCACCACACCCAGCTAATTTTTGTATTTTTAGTAGAGTCAGGGTTTCACCATGTTGGCCAGGATGGTCTCAATCTCTTGACCTCATGATCCACCCACCTTTGCCTCCCAAAGTGCTGGGATTACAAGCATGAGCCACCGCACTCAGCCTGAGCTTCCATTTTCACACAGGACAAACTAGCATCATAATCCCTGACCACCTCGTGGGTGGTTGCAAGGACTGGACCTAAAGGAAAAGTATTTTATCAACTGAAAATTAATTCAAACATGTACAGCGTGGTCGTATATAGCACCAGTAGCCTCCAGAACAGTTAAGAAGGTTCTAGGCATCTGCCTCCCTTGGTGCAGCTGCTAATGAAGAAGCAGGTGACTAAGTGACCAGTGTATGTCACTAGGAAGTGACCTAACCTTCTAGGGCATACTAAGAACAGATGTGTGCCAGGTGCGGTGGCTCACGCCTGTAATCCCAGCACTTAGGGAGGCTAAGGCGGGCAGATCACCTGAGGTCAGGAGTTCGAGACTAGCCTGGCCAGCATGGTGAAACCCCATCTCTACTAAAAATACAAAAATTAGCTGAGCATGGTGACAGGTGCCTGTAATCCCAGCTATTTGGGAGGCTGAGGTGGGAGAATTGCTTGAACCCAGGAGGTGGAGGTTGTAGTGAGCCAAGATTGTGCCACTGTGCTCCAGCCTGGGTGACAGATCCAAACTCCATCAAAAAAAAAGCAAATGTGGTCTGCAGGGAGTAGAGGCTCCAAAGTGGCCTGGGTTGGGGGGTAGACAGGAAGAAGGTCTCTGGAGCCTAGAAGCGACAGGAGGGAGGCTCGCAAATCATGTTTATGTCCCAGAGCTTCTACTACTGCCTTGCATTAAGGTCAGATTATTTGAAGTCCTTTTTGTAACCCATCCATGGGTGATAAAAGTCAGTAAAACAGTGTTTCACATCTTGACAGTGATCCAATCTCAGTGAGTATAAATTTTCAATATGTGTCTTTCATATCGGTATCATGGACCCCCTGATATGAAGGGATGAGAAGGGGACTTCCCTCTGGTGTTCTTCCCAGATTCCATAGCCCTGGACTGATGATTTTCATGAAGAAAACATGAGAAAAACCCAAACTGAAGGACATTCCACAAAATACTTGGCTACTACTCTCCAAAAGTGTTAAGGTTATAGAAAACAAGGAAAAACTAAGAAATCATCACAAAATTAGAAGAGACTAAGGAGACAAGATGACTAAAGCATTGTAGAATATGAATGTAAAAACTGCTGAAATCTTTTTTTTTTTTATGAGACAGAGCCTTGCCCTGTCACCCAGGAGTGCAGTGGCGTGATCTCAGCTCACTGTAACCTCTGCCTCCTGGGTCCAAGCGATTCTCCTCCCTCAGCCTCCCAAGCTAGGACAACAGGTATGCACCACCATGCCCAGCTAATTTTTGTATTTTTAATAGAGACAGGGTCTCACCATGTTGACCAGGATAGTCTCGATCTCTTGACCTCGTGATCCACCTGCCTCGGCCTCCCAAAGTGCTAGGATTATAGGCTTGAGCCACAGCGCCCAGCCTGAAATCTTATTATACTCTGTAGTTTAGTAAAACTGTAAATATCACCAATGCCTGTGGCATCAACATGTGGGGTAAATCCCTTTGGGCAAGACCTTGAACAAGAGATTGAAAGGAAGAATGGGGTCTATCATTTGCAAAGCTGGCTTCATCTACTCCGCCTGCCCTTGGAACTGCACCCAAGGATTGTGCTCCTCTTCTTATCAAGAATCTACTGGTCCTGTGACAGGCTTTTGAATGCAATGGGAGTGATACCACCTGGCTTTCCAGCCTTGGCCTCTAGAGCCCTTGCCAATTCCCCTCTGGCTCTTTTGCTGCCCTGAGGCAGGCACCTAAGGAAGTCTGTGCTAGCCTCCCCAAGGATTAGTGGCCACCTGGAGAAACCAGTCACACCATCCCAGACATTCCAACCCTTCCTGCAGAGGCTCCAGACACATGAGTGAGACCCTCCAGGGCCAGCCAGCCCCCAGCCCAATCACCTACTGACTGCAGCCTTGTAGGTGAACCCAGGTAAAGCCAAAGGAACTGCCAACCAACCACAGAATTGTGGAAAATAATATATAGTTACTTTCAGATTTGATACTTTTAAGTTTTAGAGTAATTTGTTACCGAAAACAGAAAATGAATATAGAGGGAATCTGCTTACCTAGAAGAGTCCATGACTTAGAACCTCACCCGCCATATACACCCAAGACCCCCCACCTCCCTCATTCTAGAACATGGAGGCTCATTCACACTCTGTTCACAGCATATTCCAACAGGACAGCCACTGGATTCCCCAGGGCCACCGAGCCCTTCCAAGGACAAGCCAGGCCAGGCCGGCAGGACCAGACAGCAGAACCCTGGGCTTGAACCTAGGTATGTTCAAAGGGCGCCCTCCTGCTGGCCCCTCTTCCCACACCCCAGCTCAGATCTTATGACCCATGGCATAGGGGCATGCTTCTCTGGGATGGATTTTCCAGCTCACTTTCAGGGGCACTTCCACCACTGCCAGCAGGATCCTTACAATGGCATGAGCCAGACCTCTTACATGCCACGACCCTTTTACATCTGATGAAACCTATAGGCCCCTTCTGGGAATAGATACTTAAATACAGAAAGTAAATTATACAGGAAAAAATTATTAATCAAATACACAGGCTTACAATGGTGTTATTAGCTTCATATTGCTGCTATAACAAATTACCATAAACTTCATGGCATAAAAGAGCACAAGTTGATTATTTTACAATACTGGAGGTCAGAAGTCTAAATTGGGTTGGCTTTCTTCTGGACACCTTTGGGGAGAATCTGTTTCCTGGCCTTTACTAGATTCTAGAATCTGCCCAAATTCCTTGGCTAGTGTCTCGAATCACTCCAACCCCGGCTTCCTTCATCACCTCTCACACACATCCCATCATATCCAACAAACTCCTGTTGGCATATTAGGTTCTGGAGGTTCAGAGGTTTTAGGGATTAGGATATGGAAATCTTTGGCGTTCCATTATTCTGCCTACCGTAAAAGGAAACCAATTATATTGAAGTTAAGTTATCAAAATACTACAAACCAAGTTTTCAATCCAGTACCACATGTACTTTCTTACTGACCAGTTAAACAACAAGATTTAGTGAAGGGTCTAATAACCTCCATAATTTCAAAGTAATGATAAGTGTAAGGAGTATTTTAAGATAACTGTGAAAACTTCCATGTGATATGAAAATAGCTACATTTTCTATTAGTGACAAAGTCACAAGTACTAATACAACCTACATTCATCATTGAAAAAAATGCTAAATTTTCAAGAAGTTAGCAAAAATAAATATGCACTTTTTTTCCAATCCAAGTTCATAGGTCCCCCGGATTTTCTCCAAGAATCCAAGTGAGAACTCTTGGCTGAAGGGATTTGGCCCAGAAATGTTTGCATTTTCTTATGGGCCACCAACACCCTAAAAGGTGAGACACCCGTGGGGTGATTCTGGGCACTCTCACTTGCTGGGGCCCTGCTCCCTCAAACTACAGTGCACACTGGTGAGCAGCGAGCAGATATCAGGCACCTAATGTGCCCTTGTTCTCCCACAGCTCCAAGGTGGGTACCAGCATTCCCTTTCCACAGGGGAACACTGTGGCTCAGTGTGATAGAGTAACTTGCCCACCATACCACACTTGGTAAATGACGCTTTGCTCCTTTTACCCCACCTCACTGAGCACCAGGCGTGCAGGGTCTGGCAGGAGGGTGGAGGAGATCTCACCGCCTTCTCATTTAATTTTCCTAACTACCCTCTGAGGGAGTTAGTTTGATTCCTCTCTTGTCAATAAGGAGGCCGGCCAGAGGGCTGGGGACTGTCCCAACTCACCAAGCAGTAAAGGGAGGTGGGAGAAAGCAGAAGAAAGATGGACAGGCAGAGGCAGGTGGGGAGGCTGGAGGGGCAAGCTGGGGTGGGATACAGAGGTGGAGGCAGACCTGTGCATCCGGGCCAGGGGAGCTGAGGGGACAGGGGGCTGCCAGCAGAGGCCTTACCTTGCTCTCACAGTGGATCTTGGCCCCCGAGTTGACCAGGATCTGGAGGATCCGTAAGTGGCCGAACCAGGCAGACAGGAGAAGTGCATTCATCCCAAACTGGGGGAGAGGACATAGAGGAAGTGAGAAGAATGTGGGGAGGTGTGGCCGTGCCAGCTAGGCCTGTGCCTTATGACTAAACCACACAACCAGAAGGGACTGTAAGTGCCACTCAGTCCAGGGAGCTCCAAGCTTTAGGAATGTAAAGACCAGGACTTTTTTTTTTTTAATAGAGGCTGATGTACTGCTGCAAACTTTTTGAATTAATTTTTTGCTAAATGAAACTTAAAAACAAAACAGGTGCCAGCTGTGCTCAGTGGCTCATGCCTGTAATCCCAGCACTTTGGGAGGCTGAGATGGGAGGATCAGATGAGGTCAGGAGTTCGAGAGCAGCCTGGCCAACCTGGTGAAACCCTGTCCCTACCAAAAACACAAAAATTAGCCGGGCATGGTGGCACGTGCCTGTAATCCCAGCTACTTGGGAGGTTGGGGCAGGAGAACTGCTTGAATCCAGGAGACAGAGGTTGCAGTGAGTCAAGACTGCACCACTGCATACCAGCCTGAGCGACAAAGCCAGACTTTGTATCAACAAATTGTATTTAATATTTTAAGAAATGTCTGCCATTTACTCTCATCATCATTTCATAAATAAAGGCCATTTCACAAGAAAAAATTTGTAAGGAACCAATCTTAGAATATTTTCTTGACAAATAAAACTTCATAACTGGGCATGGTGGTTCACAACTGTAATCCCAACACTCTGAAATGAGAATCACTTGAGCCCAGGAGTTTGAAACCAGACTGGGCAAAATACAGGGACCCTATCTCTATAGACATTTAAAAAAAAATAAGCCAGGCATGGTGGCACACTCCTGTGGTCCCAGCTACTTGGGAGGCTGAGGTGGAAGGATCACTTGAGCCCAGAAGATAGAGGCTGCAATGAGCTGTGATCCTACCACTGTACTCCAGCCTTGGTGACAGAGCAAAACCCTGTCTCAAAAACAAACAAAACAAAAAACAAATGTAGCTTCATGAAAAATACATTGTCTTTGTTTTCTGGTTTGCTATGACTGGTGAAGACCTTATCCTGGATTGGTGTTTAAGAATGGACTGTTTAAATCTCCCATAGAGGCCAGGCATGGTGGCTCATGCCTGTAATTGCAACACTGTGGGAGGGGCCAATGAGGGAGAATTGCTTGAGCCCAGGAGTTCAAGACCAGCCTAGGCAACATAGTGAGACCTATCGCTACAAAAACATTAACTAGCTGGGCATGGTGGAGCATGCCTGTAGTCCCAGCTACTTGGGAGGCTGAGGTGAGAGATCATTTGAACCCCGGCGGCAAAGGTTGCAGTGAGCCAAAATTGCACCACTGCACTCCAACCTGGGCGACGGAGCAAAAGCCTGTCTCAAAAATAAATAAATATCCCATAGAATATCTTCAAGGCAGATAGCTTAAATCTGCAGCACCACACCACGACACGAGACACCACTGCACAGTCAAACACTGGCTTCTGTTAGAAATGCCTCCTCAGCCAGGTGCAGTGGCTCACACCTGTAATCCCAGCACTTTGGGAGGCTGAGGGAAGCGGATCACCTGAGGTCAGGAGTTTGAGACCAGCCTGACCAATATGAAGAAATCCTGTCTCTACAAAAATACAAAATTAGCTGGGTGTGTTGGCATGCACCTGTAATCCCAGCTACTCAGGAGGTTAAGGCAGGAGAATCACTGGAACCCAGGAGGCAGAAGTTGCGGTGAGCTGAGATCGCGCCATTGCACTCCAGCATGGGGAACAAGAATGAAACTCCATCTCAAAAAAGAAAAACAAATGCCTCCTGGAGCTCTATTGAAATCTGAACTCCTGCAATTTCCATCCCACCAACCCTCTGGAGCAACTGAAAATATATTGATGCCTCCACTAAGGGCACCCCCACGCCTGTCTGCAGGATGCTCCTTGACATCTGCACGGTGTTCCAGGTCCCCAGAGCCCCTTCGCTGACCTTCACTGTAGGAGGGCTCTGCACTTGCCCCCACCTCCCTGGAGTCTTTTATTCTCTGTAAAGAGTACCCCCCAGCCTCCAAACTCAGCTCCAGGGATATATCAAGAGTCAGCCAGATCCTGGAAATGGTTTTTCGCAGTGCCTCCTTGGGTGTGGTTCCACTAGGAGCCTTTGTGAGGGGTACCAGGAAAAGAGGTCTTAGTGGCTGGCACCAGAATTCCTCTTAGGGAGGGAACTGTGTTTGGGTAAAAGCCTTGACAAAGGGTTGAGATAAAAGGTGAACCCCAGAGGGGACTCACTGATCAACAGGCTCCCAAGCCTCCAAAGAGAATTTCACTGCTCTGCTTTAGAAACAGGTGGGAATTTAGGCCGGGCATGGTGGCTCACGACTGTAATCCCAGCACTTTGGGAGGCCGAGGTGGGCAGATCACCTGAGTTTGGGAGTTCAAGACCAGCTTGACCAACATGGAGAAACCCTGTCTCTACTACAAAAAAAAAAATACAAAAAAATTTTTTTTTAACGGTGGGAATTTGGAGGCAGGAGGGAGGCAGGGCAGACAAGGACAGCACTGGAGAGAGGAGGGGAGCAGAGGCTGGGGCCAAGACGAGGAAAGGACCAAGGGCCTTTAAAGAACAGAATGTCAAAGAAGGGATTTTAGGATTTTTATACTGTTTTCGTGTGTGACATAGGTCCCCTCTATTTCCCAGTTTGGAAAGCCATCCCACATCACAAGCCTTGTGTAAATCGAGTCCCTGGAAACCATGTTTGGGATGATGCCAGGTGCTATGTTTGGGATGATGCCAGGGTGGAGTCAAAGGACGATCTGCAAAGTTTCAAGAGGACACCAAAAGTTGACCAGAAGCTGGAAGGAGGAGCCAGCAGGGACCACAAGAATTTAAGTTCTTCCTCCTGAAATCCTAGGGAAGGTATCAGACCCAGCATAGAGCCTCAAATAAGGGTCTACTCCCAAGATGGGGGCGTATGTTTTTTTAGTTAAAAATAATATAACAGAAACAAAAAAAAAATGAGCGTCTACAGCTAGTCTTAACAAGAGCCAAAGAGGCCAGGAGACCCGGCACTGGCTCAGAGCTCAGCTCCTGGTAGAAAATCAGAAACTGTGGGCTGGGTGCAGGAGGGAGGAAAAAGAACCAGCACAGACAGAGCCCAGCGGGAGGAAAATAAAAAGAGTGAAGGCTCAGGACTGGAGGAGAGAGAGCCATGGGAGCCAGAGCCTCCTGACAGCGGGATCTCCCGGGATACATCACAGTCCTAAACCAGCTTTCCCCACATACATAGTTCCTAGGAACTGTCCAGGCCAGAGTCCTGGGGCATATCACTAGAGACCTTCCTCCAACAACAGGATGTCCCTTCTCCAGCATCTCCCGAACCCCGTAACTACAGCAGGCAAGCCCACCAGGCTGTCTTATTTTTCAAAATGTTATTGATTGCCATTTGCGAAAGAAACAGAGAGGATTCTTATTTTTGTTTGTTTTTTGTTTTTTTGAGATGGAGTCTCGCTCCGTAGCCCAGGCTGGAGTGCAGTGGCACAATCTCAGCTCACTTCAACCTCTGCCTCTGGGGTCCTGGTTCAAGCAATTCTCCTACCTCAACCTCCCACATAGCTGGGATTACAGGCACGAGCCACCATGCCCAGCTAATTTTTGTATTTTTTTAAGTAGAGATGGGGTTTCACCATGTTGGCCAGTCTGGTCTTGAACTCCTGACCTTGTGATCCGCCCACTTCAGCCTCCCAAAGTGCTGGGATTACAGGCGTGTACCATCACACCCAGCTAATTTTTGTATTTTTAGTAGAGATGCGGTTTCACCATGTTAGCCAGGCTGGTCTTGAACTCTTGACCTCAGGTGATCCTCCCACCTTAGCCTCCCAAAATGCTGGGATTACTGGTGTGAGCCACCACGCCCGGCCAACAGAGAGGATTTCTAAAAGGGACCCCTCTTACTGTTCTCCCTCATAGCATCTTTTCTTACTAAACCCCTGAAGGAAGAAATAACAGCACGGTGGCAACAGTGAGGGTCTTTGTGGGTATAAATAGTTGATGCAAGAGGCTCTAGTGTTTCACCAGGGAGTTCAGACTAAGGATCCTAGACGTCTGCTCCCAAAGGCATCCCTAAATGAGGCCTAAGCAGGTACAGGGAGGAGAAAGGATTGAGGAATGGGGAGGTAAGGGTTGCTGCCTCACCTCCACCCTAACTAGTAATCAAGCCCCCACATGGTAGGGCCTGGGAACAGAGAGAAGCCAGAACAAAGAAAACTGTTTCCGTGGACACTACAGGGAGGTTTATCTATTTATTTATTTACTATTTATTTTTTAGATGGAGACTTGCTCTGCCCCCCAGGCTAGAGTGCAGTGGTACAATCTCAGCTCACTGCAACCTCCACTACCCGGGTTCAAGCGATTCTCCTGCCTCAACCTCCCAAGTAGCTGGGACTACCGGCGCATGCCACCATGCCTGGCTAATTTTTTGTATTTTCAGTAGAGACGGGTTTCACTGTGTTAGCCAGGATGGTCTTGATCTCCTGACCTCGTGATCTGCCTGCCTCGGCCTCCCAAAGGCAGGAGCCACCGAACCTGGCCAGTTTTATTTTAAAATGTTGGTCTGTTTATTTATTTAGATACCAGGTTATAAGACTGGCTAATTTTTGTATTTTTCGTAGAGACAGAGTTTGGCTATGTTGCCCAGGCTTGTCTCAAACTCTTGGGCTCAAGTGATCCACCTACTTGGCCTCTCAAAGTGCTGAGATTACAGGCGTGAGCCACAGCACCCAGCCTTTTTTAAATTTAAATTTAGACAAAGCTGTAAGTGTATCCCTTTCAAATGTCATTATTAGATTCAGCCCATTTCCCAAACCTGTAGAAATAATTTTGTAGACCGCATTACTCTTCAGTGTACACTGCCTGCCAACTGGTTAACTAAAACTATTAGTCTTTATCCAGGACTTTGATTGAAGTGTTAGCCAGGGCAGAGCACTGTGGCATATCATGAGAGACTTTCCTCCTGGAGCCTTTGCTAATCAGGCCTCTGTCACCCAATTATCTGTTCTACAGCCCTCTCCCTGTTCACACAGCATCATGAGGGACTGAAAAGGCTCTCAGATAACCAGAAGGCCGTTGAGAATGGAAATCCCTTTGTTACTGTACAGGAGGAAAATGGAATCAGTACAGTGTCCCTGGCGCCGGAACCCTTTGACTCCCTGCCACTCTGCACCTGAATGTCTGCATCTTAGCAGCAGTCTCAGCAACCAGCTCAAAGACCTAGAGAGATCTCCAGCGCCCCCCACCACCCTGAGACAGACAGAAAGACACACATACACAGACGTGCCTCCGTGAGGGCCCCTACCGCATCCTCCTCGTCCACAGCAGCCTCGTGCTCCAAAAGCAGACGCACAGCCTGCTCGTGCCCCGAACCTGCAGCCCAGTGCAGGGCCACCCTGCCAACCTGCCCGGAGGGAGATGACACTTGTCAGGTGTAGCTGCCACCTCGCTGCCTGGACCACCTCCCACACCCTCCCCCAGGACAGCTGCTCTGCAGGCTGGAAGGGTCTTTTCTGGCTCTGGTGACCAGCTAACTGGGGACCCAGCCCCATTCTGCCCCATGCTCCTCTCCTACCTGGCCACCAAAGCCAATGTAGTAAAATGACTGGACCCATCTGTCCCCACCTCAAACTCTTCGCAGTTTCCCGTGGCTCTCAGGATAAACTCTTAACCCGGGGGATGATGAGGCTCTGCATGCTCTGGTGCTGCCCACCACTGCTTCACAGAAATGCCAAGCAGCTTCCAACCTCTAGGCCTTTTCCTGCTGTTCTCCCTGCTGGGCAGCCAGCTCTGTGTGGCCAAGGATTATCCTCCAAGTCCCTGAGCGGCACCAGAGTGCCTGGGTTCTGTCCCCTTCTGTCTCTCAGAACAGGGCTGAAGGGGCCTGATGCCCCACCTCATTCTCAGGCAGTTCATCGTGTCATCCAAGTAGGCCTGGGGGAAGCTGGCCTGTGTCCCCTGCTCCCACTTCTCTCGTCTGTAGTTTTCAGCTTATGAGGGGACAATGAAAGGAAGCACTAGTTTTCTGTGTGGTCTCAGGCAAGCCACATCCCCTGTCTGGAGCCCAGCTGTTCCTTCCTTCCTCAGGGCTTCTGCCCATGCCATGCCCTCTGCCTGGAACACCACCCTTCACCTGGCTCTTCAAAAATGCCACTTCCAGCAGGGTGAGGTAGCTCACGCCTGTAATCCCAGCACTTTGGAAGGCCGAGGTGGGAGTACTGCTTGAGTTTGAGACCAGCCCAAGCAACATAGCAAGACCCGTATCTCTAGAAAAAATAACAAAAATTAGCCTGGCATGGTGGTGCGTACCTATAGTCTCAGCTACTGGGGAGGCTGAGGTGGGAGGATCAACTGAGCCCTGGAAGGTCAAGGCTGCAGTGAGCTGTGACTGCTCCACTGCACTCCAGCCTGGGCGATGTGAGTTCCTGTCTCAAAAAAAAGAAAAAAAGCCACTTTCTGCTGAGTGCGGTGGCTCACGCCCATAATTCCAGCACTTTGGGAGGCTGAGGCGAGCGGATCACCTGTGGTCTGGAGCTTGTGACCAGCCTGACCAACATGGGGAAACCCCATCTCTACTAAAATTCAAAATGAGCCAGGCATGGTGGCACATGCCTGTAATCCCAGCTATTCGGGAGGCTGAGGCAGGAGAATTGCTTGAATCTGGGAGGTAGAGGTTGTGATGAGCCGAGATCACACCATTGCACTCCAGCCTGGGCAACAAGAACAAAACTCCACCTCAAAAAAAAAGGAAAAAAAGCCACTTCCTTGGGAGTCTTTTCCTCACCCTCCTGCACACACTCTTATGACAACTTATCACAGAGGGAATGAATTGTGTGTGGGATGCCTTGTATAATGTCTCTCCTCCTATTTTGCCCATCTGCCAGCTTCTGGCTGCTGATCTTTGACCCTGGCCCTCCTGTCTCTAACCTCCCTTCCCTGGGTATACCTCTCAGATGGGCCCAGAAGTTAACAGTTTGACCTCTGGAATTGCTCAAGCCTGGCTTGGAATCCTGACCCTGACCTTGGGTGGGGCCCAACCACTCTAAGCCTCAGATTCCTGGAGACAATTCCCAAGGACAAAGCCTGAACCGCCATCCAAGTTAGCACGGCCAATGTGCCTGCCTGTAGCTCAAATGAACTATTCCGTGTACTGGCATTATCATGACACTATTCCAGGTGCCAGGATTCAGAGGAGCCCATTACGCACGTGGTTTCTGGCCCTGGTGTTAACCCTCCTCCCAATCAACTCCTGCATCCTGCTGACGTTGTTCCGGCGGGCGGCCTCATGGAGCTGCCTCTCCAGAGGAAGCACTAGGGGGAGAAAATGGGGTGCAGGATGAGGGGAAGGATCCCCCATACTGCAGACAGGAAAGGTAAACAGTCCATTCCCACTCCTGAGCATTTCCGGAGTAGGGGTCTTTCAGCTGGGAATGGGGGCAGAGCAGCATGGCCCTCCTCTCTCTCAAGGTCAGGGTCCTCCCCAGACAGGCTGCTCTTCCTCACTAACTCACCCCGCAGCCATGCAACCAGGATGTGGTAAAACTCTGAAGATGGGAGAGGAGAGCAAGGCCATCCACAGCAGCCTAAATATGTGCCCCATTATCCAAGTTTTATGTGCCCTCCCGAGAGCTGTTCTTGGGGAAGGAATAAAATGAACTCCCTCTGGAGTCAGCAACCACCTTTTCCACGGAGCAGTCTAGTGTAGAAAACAGCCAGGATTTACCGAGCTACCTACTGCATGCCAGTGCTGAGTAAGGCCAGAGGCATGTTTGCCCTACTTCTGTGCTTTCCATCTCCTTGTTCCTCTACCCCTTCTTTCAACCCCTCTATCTCCCAGGCAGGAGTGCAGTGGCACAATCTTGTCTCACCGCAACCTCTGCCTGCCGGGTTCACAGGATTCTCCCACCTCAGCCTCCTCAGTAGCTGGGATTACAACCATACGCCACCACACCTGGTTAATTTTTATATTTTTAACAGAGACAGGGTTTCACCATGTTGGCCAGGCTGGTCCCCAACTCCTGACCTCAAGTTGTCTGCCTGCCTCAGCCTCCCAACATGCTGGGAGGCTCTTCCAACCTCTCTTGCCCAAATCCTAACCAGCTTTCACCTCTCCATGCTGAGGCCACCCTGATTTTCCTTCTCTGTGGTCTCTCTCTTCTCTGTGCTCCTTTCACCCCACCATCGCTGTACCTTTAGCACAGAGTGTCAGACTAAAGAGAACCTCAGAGCTCCCCCTGCTAACCCCTATCACACATAGCTGTGGGCTCAAGGTCAGACTGCAGGTTAGTGTCTGAGCCAGAAGGACCCAGGCAAGATGGCATCTCACAGGAGCCCCATGCTACTGTCATCCTGACGGCTCTTGATTGTGAGGATGTCTAGTCCTCATCCTCATATCTTTTCATGTCTCATTTCTAATCATTATGTTAGAATGACAGATCAGGAAGGGTCAAGTATGGTCAGGGCCTCCAAGATGGTTGGGGTCTAGCCCAACCCACAGCTCACAGCAGGCCCAAAGGTGGGCACAAGGAGAAACCCACAAAACTCTGCTTCTGAGCCGGGCATGGTGGCTCATGCATGCAATCCCAGCACTTTGGGAGGCCAAGACGGGAGGATTACTTGAAGCCAGGAGTTCAAGACCAGCCTGGGCTACAAAGCAAAACCCCATCTCTACAAAAAAAAGTTTAAAAAAAAATTAGCCAGGTGTGGTGGCACTTGCCTGTAGCCCCAGCTACTCAGGAAGCTGAGGAAAAAGGATTGCTTGAGCCCAGGAGTTTGAGGCTGCCAATAAGCTATCATTGCACCACTGCGCTCTAGCCTGGGCAACAGAATGAGACCCTGTCTCTAGAAAGAAAACAAAAACAGGCCAGGCACAGTGGCTCATGCCTGTAATCCCAACACTTTGGGAGGCCAAGATGGGGGAATCACCTGAGGTCAGGAGTTTGAGACCAGCCTAACCAACATGGAGAAACCCCATCTCTACTAAATATACAAAATTAGCCAGGTGTGGTGGCGCATGCCTGTAACCCCAGCTACTTGAGATTACAGGCATGTACCACCACAGGCAAGGCAGGCTGAGGCAGAATTGCTTGAACCAGGGAGGCAGAGGCTGTGGTGAGCCGAGATCATGCCATTGCACTCCAGCCTGGTGACAGAGCAAGACTCCATCTCAAAAAAAAGAAAAGAAAAGAAAAAGATAAAAGAAAGAAAACAAAAACAAAAAAATCTCTGCTTGTATGAGTGAGATACAACACCAACAATCCCCAGATGAATAGATGCCTGTCCCCTCTCCCAAAGGGCTCACACATACTAGCACAGAGGACAAATATTTGCTGGCCCTTTGCTTAGTCACTGGAGGGCAAGTGACCCCACAGCCTGCATGTTTGGTCCAGTATGAATGTCTGAACCCAGCCTCTTTGTGTATCCAGGGACAGGTGACAAGCATCTTGGTAGGGAAGGCTAAGAGGCACTGAGGTGACAGACAGCCTGCCATGCAGTTTGTTTTTCTGGATAAATTCCACACAGCCTTTTCCAGGTGTGAAAGAGGATCTTGGTCTTTCTGGGGCTTCACAGATACAACCTGTGGACTTCAGAGTTGCTACCCCAAGGAGCAATCACACAGTCCTGGGTTCAACTCTGGCTGAACCACTTCCCAGCTGTGTGACTTAGGCAGTTTCCTCATCTTCAAAACAGGGGTGTGTGCTTCCCTACAAGATTAATATAATGATTAGAAACGAGATATGAAAAGCCCCTGGCACGGTGTCTAGCACATAATGACCACACCACCACCAGCAGCACCATCATCATCGCTATTATTCCTCCAAGGCAAAGGGTCAAATTCCAGTAGCCAAAAAGAGCTGCCAATTCAAGTGAGTACTTACAGAGGCCTGGGTTCTAGTACCTGCCCTGCCACTTTCCAGCAGCAGGATCCTGGGCTAGTCACATCCCCCTGACAAGTCTGTTTCTTCTATTGTAAAATTGGGGGAGTGTGAAGAAAGAGATCTGTATAGGTCCCTTCCTATCTGGCACCCTCTATCTTAGTGGCAGCTTAGGGGGACTGACTGGCCTGATGTGTATTGGCAAACAGCCAGGTGTCCCAGTGGGAAGCCAGCAGACAATGTGGAAAGCCAGGCCAGAGGTCAAGTTAGAGTGCAATCAAGTCCAGTCTCATCTCTTCCATCCACCTCGCCCTATGCACCCTCTTTCCAGCCATATCCGATATCACTGAGCTGACTGAGACTTTGCCAATGCTGGGTCCTCTGCCCAGAATTCTCTGCCTCACACTGCAATGCTCCATTGCTACACTTTCTTTACAGGGCCGGGAAAGTGATCCTCTGCCCCAGGCAGAACCATGTACCTACTTTGAAATAATTAGCATCTTGATGGAGCACCCCCACCCCCAACACATCCCTCAACTGAGTAGATGCAGTGTGCCAGCATTTTTGACATTATAGGTCTCAAGGGAATCCAGTGAGCTGCACTATAGGCATTTGAGGGAGAGCCTCAGGATTCATCTGTCAGGATTCATCTGTCAGGGTTCTGAATCAAGGACTCACAGTGGGTTCACCGACACAATCCTCCTCTCCCCTCTCCCAGACAGTGCAGCCAAATCTGCCCAAGGCCAGCTGATATCCACACAGTCGCTGCTGCCCGGCCTAGAGGCCCTGGCACTAGGCATACTCCTTGAGGGAGGCTCAGAGGCGCCCTCAACTCACCTGTGGCCAGTCAGGCTCCTCTCCTGTGAGAGTGTGCCCCATCCCATGTGGTCTCCACCCACTCTCCAGCCCCAGCCTTGGGGGGGGGGGGGGAGCTGGGACCTTCAGCACTTCTACCACTCGGTGGCTGTGTGACCTGTCACAACTCATTTGAACACCCTGTGCCTCAGTTTCTCATCTGCAAAATGAAGATAACAAACTATCCTATCCATATGGCCGCAGCGAAGATCAAATGATGTGCCTCTCCTGGGTCAAGGCCTGGCGCACAAAGTACAGCACGCAGTCAGGGATCGCTATTACCTTTATTATTTGCAGCTCACCTCTCCTCAGCTGTTGCCCTTCCTCCCGAGCGCCCCGCTCACTTGGCAGGTGGCACCCCCGACTCCCAGACGCACAGGCTAGGTCCCCTCGCCCCGGCGCGCAGACCAGTGACCATTCCGCTCAGAACCACACAGACACCCAAGTCGGAGGTGGCTATTCGGAGGGCGCCAACCTCATTCCTGGCACTCCCTGAACGGATGCGGGAGTCCTCTCAGCCTCGGCCCGCCCCCGTCCCCTGGCCCGATGGACTCACAGCAGTCGGTCTCACAAGCCAGCTCCTCCTGCATCCCGCCACTACGCAGCCCCTGCGCGCTCTGGTGCTGCGGCGAGGCGCGCGTTAGCGGGGGCGGCCCCGGGGAGCCGAGGGGAGGGGGCGGTCGCTCCTCAAGACCTATCACCCGGCCTGCTAGGAGCGCAGGGGCAGCGGCCACCCTAGTCCTGGACCGGGATGCAGGTCCCTCCTCCTACTCCCTTAACCTGCCCACCGCTCCGCGCCCAAGGAGCCACGCCGAGTTCCGCAGGTGCTCCTGACCCAATCTCCTCCGCTGAAGCTCGCCCAGCCTCCCAGACCCTGGAGATAGATGCGCGCAAGGCATCTGGAAGGCTCACCTTCCTCGCCCCGCTTGGGCTTGGGGCGAAGGGATGAGCCTTGGGTCCGCCGCCCTCTGGCGCAGAAAGTCAGACCCCAAAGACGTGAGCTGGGGTTTGAGGAACCGCAACTTCAGCAGGTCTGCAAGCATATGAAGAGATGGTCGGATTTATCAGTGTTCAGAAAGATGACAATGAAATATCACTTACACTCATTAAGACTGGCAAAAATTAAAAAGCCTGATAATGCCAAATGTCAGCGGACAATATGAAGCTGTCGAGCTGGCATGAGTAGCCTGTGGCTGTTCATGGGCTACTAGAAAATAATCTAGAAAACAGTCTGGCAGTAATGAGGGAAATTACGGTGAACCCTAAAATCCAGCTCCTTGATATAGATCTCTGAAATTCTCTTGCAGGCCCACAAAGGGACGTGTGGGAAGATGTCAGCTGCTGCGTGGCTGTGGGAGCTGGAGGCAATCTAAGCGCCCTTCATTGTGAGAGCAGGTGGATAAAATGTAGCGCTGTGCAGCTCTCAAATCAAGGGACCCAGTGTATTCATGGCAGTATGGATTTAAACACCTAATGCTAGGCAGAAAAAGTAAACAACCAAACCAAATAAGACCTAGAAGACAATATTAATAAAAATATTATAAATGCATTTACATCAAACAACAGACTCACAAAGACACGTAGAACCAAAAAGATACACATTAAATACACCAGCATGTGTTGTACTTCGGACCCTTGGGGAATGTCCGTGGCCTTTTTGCCTTAAAGGCATTTACATGCATCTTTAAGTTTAGGGATAATGGGGCCTCAGACATCTCTATCCCAGGGCAAGAAGCCAGCAAAACCATGATAGGTGTAGTTACTACTTTGGGGATCAAAGGAGGAAGAGCACCTTTCAGTCATTAGTCCTTAGGATATAGTTCAGGAAGGCTTCCTGAAGAAGGAGGTATTTGGAATGGCCTTTGAAAAATAACATAATGATAACCACTAACAATTAATGAGCCCTGAGCCAACCCCTCAAACGGTCTCAAAATAACAATTGCAACATAATAATCAAAGACATAGTCCAGAAACAGTGACTCATACCTGTAATCCCAGCACTTTGGGAGGCCAAGGCGGACGGATCTTGAGATCAGGTGATGGAGACCATCATGGCTAACACAGTGAAACCCTGTCTCTACTGAAAATACAAAAAATTAGCCGAGCGTGGTGGTGCAGGCCTATCATCCCAGCTACTCGGGAGGCTGAGGCAGCAGAATCACCTGAACCCAGGAGGCGGAGGTTGCAGTGAGCCGAGATCATGCCACTGTTCTCCTGCCTGGGCTATGGAGCAAGTTTCCAAAAAAATAAAAAATAAATATATATATAAAGATATGATTCCTCAGGGAGGGATCCAAGATGGCCGAGTAGGAACAGCTCTGGATTGCAGCTCCCACCAAGAGTGCAGAGGGTGAGTGGTTACCGCATTTCCAGACGGATTTTTATTGCCCACAGACCAGGAGATTCCTGGGTGGAGGAGTGCCATGGGTCTCCAGCACCGCTGTTTCAGCCGGCACGGCTGTTTCGGCCAGCGCGGCTGTTTGGGCCGGCCGGTGGGTCTCCACAGGTCTCTGCACAAAAAACTCACACAGGTCTGGGCACCCTTTCAGCTGGTGGCTGGAGCACCTGGGAGACAGAGTCACCCATTCAACTGATAAAGAGGGGACTGAAATAGGGAGCCAGGCCAGGAGCTTCCCGGGTGAAAAAGTGCCATGAGACCCCAGTGCAGCTGTTTGAGCCGGCACAGCGGGTCTCCACACAATAATTCACACAAATCTGGGTGCCATTTCAACTGGTGACTGGAATGCCTGGGGAACAGAGTCACCCATTCAACTGACAAAAAAGGGGTCTGAGGCTGGGAGCCAGGTGATCAGGAACGGCTGGTCCCACCCCCACATAGACCAGGAATCTGAAACGCTCTGGACTGAGAGTTTCACAGCAAGCACAGCTGAACCCAGGAAGGTCCACCTCTGTGGGGGAGGGGCGTCCGCCATTACCGAGGCAGTCCATCACTACTGAGGCAGTCCGCCATTACCCAAGCAGCCTGCCACTGCCAAGGCAGTACGCCATTACAGAGAGAGTCCGTCATTACAGAGGCTGGCCGCCATTGCCAAAGCAGTTCTAACTATACCCCTATAAACAGGACTGCAGGGAAGTTAACACAGCAACTGGGCAGAGCCCACAGCAGCTCAGCAATGTCTCTGCTGGCAGACTGTGAATAGGCTGCCTCCTCGCTGGGCAGGGCAGCCCTCAAAAGGCAGAAGCATGACAGAAACTTATAAATAAAGCCCTACCTTCCCGGGAGAGAGCACCTGGGAAAAGAAAGGCTGTTATGAGTTCTGCTAGGGCAGACTTAAACGTACCTGCCCAGCAGCTCTGAATGGAAGAATGGAGCTCACAGCTCAGCACTTGAGCTCCTGCAAAGGACAGACTGTCTCCTCAAGCAGCTCCCTGACCCCTGTATATCCAAAGAGTCACCTCATAAAGGAGAGCTTAGACTGACATGTGATGGATAACCAACAAAAATCAAAAGAGAAAAAGAAGAACATTACATAATGGTAAAAGGATCAATGCAACAAGAAGAGCTAAGAATCCTAAATATATATGCACCCAATACAGGAGCACCCAGATATATAAAGCAAGTTCTTAATGACTCACAAAGAGACAGACTCCCACACAATAGTAGTGGGAGACTTTAACACTCCACTGTCAATATTAGACAGATCAATGAGACAGAAAATTAACAAGGATATCCAGGACTTGAACTCAGACCTAAAACAAGCAAACCTAATAGACATTTACAGAACTCTCCACCCCAAATCCACAGAATATACATTCTTCTCAGCACCACATCACACCTACTCTAAAATTGACCACATAATTGGAAATAAATCACTCCTCAGCAAATGCAAAAGAATGGAAATCATAACAAACAGTCTCTCAGACCACAGTGCAATCAAATTAGAACTCAGAATTTAGAAACTAACTCAGAATTCAGAGACTAACTCAAAACCGCACAGCCTCATGGAAACTGAATAACTGCCTCTTGAATGTTGACTGGATAAACAATGAAATGAAGGCAGAAATAAAGATGTTCTTCAAAACCAACGAGAATGAAGACACAACATACCAGAATTTCTGGGACACATTTAAAGCAGTCTCTAGAGGAAAATATAGAGCAATAAATGCCTACATGAGAAACAAGGAGAGCTCTAAAATTGACACCCTATTGTCAAAATTGAAAGAGCTAGAGGAGCAAGATTAAAAAAAACTCAAAACCTAGCGGAAGACAAGAAATAACTAAGATCAGAGAAGAACTGAAGGAGATAGAGACACAAAAAACCCTTCAAAAAATTCAATAAATCCAGGAGCTGTTTTTTTTTTAAAGATCAACAGAATAGCCAGATTAATAAAAAAGAAAAGAGAGAATAATCAAACAGACGCAATAAAAAATGATAAAGGGAATATCACCACTGATTCCACAGAAATACACACCACCATCAGAGATTACTACAAACAACTCTATGCACATAAGCCAGTAAAACTGGAAGAAATGGATAAATTTCTGGACAACTTGCATGCTCCCAAGCCTAAACCAGGAAGAAGTCGAAACCCTGAATAGACCAATAACAAGGTCTGAAGTTGAGGCAGCAATTAAGACCCTACCACCCAAAAAAAAAAGCCCAGGTCCAGATGGGTTCACAGCCAAATTCTGCCAGACATACAAAGAGGAGCTGGTACCAATCCTTCTGAAACTATACCAAACAATCCGAAAAGAGAATCCTTCCCAAATCATTTTATGAGACCAACATTGCCCTGATACTAAAACCTGGCAGAGACTCAGCAAGAAAAGAAAACTTCAGGCCAATATCCATGATGAACATAGATGCAAAAAAAATACTGGCAAGCTGATTGCAACAGCACATCAAAAAGCTTATCCACCAGGATCAAGTAGGCTTCATCCCGGGGATGCAAGGCTGGTTGAACATACACAAGTCTATAAACATAATGCACCACATAAACAGAACCAAAGACAAAAACCACATGATTATCTCAACTGATGCAGAGAAGGCCTCTGACATAATTCAACAGCCCTTTATGCTAAAAGCACTCAATAAACTAGGTATTGACGGAATGTATCTCAAAATAATAAAATCTATTTATGACAAACCAATAAATAATAAAATCTATTTATGACAAGCCAATATCATACTGAATGGGCAAAAACTGGAAGCATTCCCTTTGAAATCTGGCACGAGGCAAGGATATCCTCTCTCACCACTCCTATTCAATATAGTTGAAGTTCTAGCCAGAGCAATCAGGCAAGAAAAAGAAATAAAGGGTATTCAATTAGGAAAGGAGGAAGTCAAATTGTCTCTATTTGCAGACAACACGATTTTATATTAAGAAGACCCCATTGTGTCAGCCCCAAATCTCCTGAAACTCATAAGCAACTTCAGCAAAGTCTCAGGATACAAAATCAATGTGCAAAAATCACAAGCATTCCTATACATCAATAACAGACTTAAAGAGAGCCAAATCAAGAATGAACTGCCATTCACAATTGCTACAAAGAGAACAAAATACCTAGGAATACAACTAACAAAGAATGTAAAGGAGAACTACAAACCACTGCTCAATGAAATAAGAGAAGACACAAACAAATGCAGAAACATTCCTATGGTTAGGAAGAATCAATATTGTGAAAATGGCCATACTGCCCAAAGTAATTTACAGATTCAACACTATCCCCATTGAGCTACCAATGACCTTCTTCACAGAACTGGGGGAAAAAAACCGCCTTAAACTTCACATGGAATCAAAAGAGAGCCTGTATAGCCAAGTCAATTCTAAGCAAAAAGAACAAAGCTGGAAACATCACACTACTGGACTTCAAACTATACTACAAGGCTACAGTAATCAAAACAGCATGGTACTGATACCAAATCAGAGATATAGACCAATGGAACAGAACAGAGGCCTGGGAGGCAACGCCACACATCTACAACCATCTGATCTTTGACAAACCTGACAAAAACAAGCAATGGGGAAAAGATTCCCTGTTTAATAAATGGTGTTGGGAAAACTGGCTAGCCATGTGCAGAAAGCAGAAACTGGACCCCTTCCTGACACCTTACAGTAAACTTAACTCTAGATGGATTAAAAACTTAAACATGAGACCTAACACCATAAAAACCCTGGAAGAAAACCTAGGCAAAACGATTCAGGACATAGGCATAGGCAAGGACTTCATGACTAAAACACCAAAAGCATTGGCAACAAAAGCTAAAATAGGCAAATGGGACTTCATTAAACTCTAGAGCTTCTGCACAGCAAAAGAGACAATCATTAGAGTGAATCAGCAACCAACAGAATGGGAAAAAATTTTTGCAATCTACCCATCTGACAATGGACTAATATCCAGAATCTACAAAGAACTAAAACAGATTTACAAGAAAAAAACAAACAAGCCCATTCAAAAGTGGGCAAAGGATATGAACAGACACTTTACAAAAGAAGACACATATGAGGCCAAGAAACATATGAAAAAATGCTCATCATCACTGGTCATTAGAAAAATGCAAATCAAAACTATAC